GTGGTCGTTGCGGATTGTTCGGGATGAGGGGGGCTTGAGACATCAACGGTGCTGGCTGGAGATGCCAGCTGCCAGTTTCGGGGCGCGGCGTCCGCGGCATCGGAGGCCGTCGTGTCGGGCTTTTCTCTGGTGGAAATGGGAAACAAGATTGAACAATCTCGTTGTACGGGTTATCCTGTTGTGGCAGTTGGGTAGCAGAGCGGAGCAGAAAAGTGAAATTAACACCGGCCACTTCGACGCTTGGGGGGGGGATTCTCCATGACTAAATTGAAGTAAGTGGTAAATCATGACATACAATGTACGGATCATGGACTGATTGTACGCGCGCAGGGCGCCATCTATCGGAACTTACCTACTATGTAGGAATGATACCATTGCGACCAAAAGGCGCGACGCGGCGCAAATTGGCCGAGTTGCAGATTCATGGAGCTCCGTCCCGCTTCCGGGTCCCCGTAGGCCGTTGGGTCGGCTATCCAGTGTCGAGACTCGAGCGGTACTGGGCAATTGGGTTAACCGATGGATGAGAGTTGGCGGTACTAGGTAGGTAGATCGGTCCAGAGTCGTGCTGCGTGGTGCATGGTATTCAAGTTCGAACACTGGTCAATCTGGTGCCCCGAGACTAGCACTCCCATCCCTCGGGGGTCAGGTTGTCGGGGGGAGGGGTTATGGGAGGGGAAGGGGACATGGTCCATGGAGGGAGCCTAGGTGCGATCTGGAGCAAGTACCAGCTACATTGGATCTCCCACTTCAGTGTGTAAAACAGCTCGAAGTCTTGGCCAATTGAGATCTTCCGCCCGCACTCTGCGCCGCCCCGATATGAACGGACCTCTCATCGCTGTTTGCAAGAAAAGACGGGTTGTAGAGAGGAGCGACGAGCAGACGGGTTGCAGACGTTGAAAGCACGAAAAGACGGATCAGCGGCCACGAGCAGATGGGCAGCTTGAGTCGGTGCGTTGGCAAGTCTACCTCCGTCTATGCGCATCTTGGACAGACAGACTCCCGTCAGGATTCGAGCGACGGGCGGTGGGAAACACACACACGTTGGACGAGGAACCGATGTGATGCGCTGCAATGCGCTCCGTGGGTCACCGGCACCTCTGTCTGTCCGACTTCCAAGGTTGTCCGTCTTGACCTCGACTTGGTTTGTCCTCCAAGATCCAAGTGACGCGAGGTCGGGTAGGCACACTCGACTTGCATTCTGATTCGACTTGTGTCGTGTGGAACAGCGGGTGACTGGTCAACTCAACAGCGCACAGCAGCAGCCAGACGCAGGCACGAGGCACAGAGCTGCCCCGGATTGGCGTTTCCGGGAGGGGAAGGTGTAGCACAGTAAGTGATGCATACAGCATAGCAGACAGCCATTCGCGGTGTTGTGAGTGTTGTGGAATGGAGGCACATTTACCTGCATAGAGACGACGAACGACGAATCTCGAGAACGGGTGAGGACAGCGATACACTCGCTCCACCCCCTCTTGCGCCGCGCGCCTGTACTGTACCAGTGATTGCGATGATTGGCATGCCCCAGCCTAGACAGTGCCATATCTGGTATCTGGTAGGCCGGACGGCGTGCATGCTCGATCCATAGTCGGGGGTGTCACGGTGTTCAGAAGTCCAGGACCCGTCCGCTTAACCCGTGGAGGGAACCGCAATCTCTCGTGATCATCTGGCGTAAAGTGGACGTTCGTAAGTGTCTGATGAAGATGGGCTACGCAATCAACCGACGACTCAGTCCTGGAATGAATTGGTCGATGTATTTTCTCATTCATTTCCAATATCCTGTACAGTAGCGAGAAGGGTGGCAGACAAACTGTATGTATTGATAGTTCAAGGGATCCGACCTGACGGATGTCGAGGATGGATTGGTAAGAAGAAGAGGAAAAGAATGATGGACAGCGTGTGTTAGGTGCAGGTACATGTACACGGTACAGAGTATCCGTACTTGTCTTCGCTTCCTCCCCTCCCCTTACCCTTCTTTCCCAGGCCCCTGTGCCCCTCGCTAAGATACCCCCGGTTGCCGTCGAGGAACCCACAGTTTTCCCCCCCAGTCCACGCCTCTCAGTCTCCATGCGACTGGGCCTCCACCCACTCCCCCCCCCCCCCCCCCCTCCAGGCCCCGGCCCCGGCCCCGGCCGCTCACCCCCCCCGCTCCCCCAGCCCCCGCGCCCCCCCCCACCCCCCCCCCCCCCCCCTTCATTGATTGCCCGATGGGAGGAAGGGGGCACAGGCAGGAGGAAGAGGGAGACCGAGGAGGGACTGGGTGAGTGCAGGTGAGTTGGGCGCTACTTCCCTTGCGCAAGCCTCCGCCTCCCTTTTCGAAACGTCGTCTCGAAGCAGTTCAACTCCATTTCGTCCTCAATTCACCCGCCTTTTTCTTTTTTTCCCTTAGTCTGTTTTGCTCCCTTTTGTTTCCCGTCCCCCCTCTCTTCCCCCTTCTACGAATCTGGTGTGTCTGTGTCTCAATTTCCCATCTCAAACCCGCCCGATACCGCCAATCGAATCCATCGTCATCCTTCCATGTAGTAGCGCGAGAGAAAGAGAGAGACACGCAGTAGCTTACGGCATACGCCAACGTCTTTTCGCTCACGCGACGCAAGCCTCCGAGGCACTCTCATCTTCAACCATCATCATCTGGTCCTCCCTACTTTCTAAACCGTTCCGTCCGAGCCCGCCCGTCCATCCATCCTCATCCGGCACCCAGACCGCCGCCTCGTGCGCTACGGTCCTATTATCTCACTCCTAACTACATTACAATCCAGCTTGCTTGTGGTGCTTGTCTACTGCATTACAAGTTGCGTTTTTAGTCCCTGCCAGCTGGATTGGACTGCAAACTGCAGACTGCACCGGCTGCTGTCACGCCTGCGCCTGTGCGTGTGCCTCTTACACGCACCCCTCGAGAATAGCACCGCCGTCACTCAACCTTGAAACCTCACTCCGTCCTCCCAACACCAAGCCTCGATACTCCCGGTACTTCGAGGGGCCGCACAGGCCGAGTCACTTTTAAAGCATTCGCGCCCCCGTACCGAAACTGTGTCTTGGGCTCTGCGCCGGTGATTCATTTCAATGGCGCTTTAGACTTCCTTCTGGCACTGGCACGCGGTCCTTTCCCTTCCCTGGGCAACTCATCTAAAGTTCCAAGGCGCCGAGTCCTACCATCCCGTACCTCACCTTATACTGGCTCCCTTTTAACATACGCTTTGTCTATTTGGATTGCCTATTCCTCCTCGTGGCTCCTATCACTTTCCTTCCACCTGGACACTTATTTACTCCCCGCGAACCGCTCGAACAACCAAGTCGGCACCCCCTCCGACACCCACAACCATTACCTCACCACCACCTTGCCAACCCTCCGAATAGACACCTTGCCTTCCATGTATAACAGAACTTCTGGACCCCGAATACACTCCAGACCTTCTCCCCGCGCCGGGGTTACAGCCATACCGCAAACATGTCATTACCAGTCGCCATCCAGTCGGCCATTTTCTACTACCTCGCATGTACACCATGTAACGAGATGAAGGCATTCCGGAAGGCGAAGAAGAAGGCCAAGGAGGACAGGGAGGTGAAGAGAAAAATCGAGATGGAGCAACCAGGGCTCTACCGTCATCCTGACCCGTTTCACACAAACCCATTCTGGGCCGAAGAGATGGCGGCAGGACCACACCTACCCAAGAAGTCAACGAACAAGAATTCGAGCCAGAGAGGCCTGGCGAGTGCCGGCCGGACGAGCACAGCCGCGAGTTTTGGCGGCGCGAGCACTGTCGCTGAGAGTACCAGCCCTGCAACCCCGACAATAAGTACCGAAACCGGTCGGAAGCTGTCCGGCGAGGGCTGGAACAGAGAGCTATATCAGCGAGAGGACGAGGAGCTTTGGGGTCACAACTTCACCGGCATGGGCCACAAGCTGATGGACAACATCGCAAAGGCTGGAAACACGGCAGGGCGCTACATGGAGGAGAAGTTGGGGTTAGAGAAGCCCATCACCGATGAGGACCGCGAGAACTTTTACCGCACGCCGAGAAATCCACCCGTCAACGAGTACCACCCGCCGATAGTAGGAAGCAAGCCATCCCGTCCCGATGCGCTCAAGTGGATGTTGCAGCCGCCGCCCCCTGCCAAGCTCATGGAGGGCCGCATCCCCGTCGCCAGGACGCAGAGTACCAGCACAGTCGGAAGCAGGAGAACAATGGCGTCTGAGGACACACCCTTGGACAGGCTAGTCCGTGAGAAGGCATTAAAGAAGAAGTTGCGGCAACAAGGCGAGAAGCCGCCCTTGGAGGAGACGCCTTCGGAATCAGAGTTGATCGACTCGCTCATCGGGAGACGGTCCCGGCGGACAACGGTATCGAGCAGGGGCATGTCTAACCGCAGCCGCAGCCTCTCGCTAGATTCTGAAGTATCTTCGGACGGCGAGCTGGTAGAACGTCGGCGTATCGCCCGCGCTCGGCGCGCTCCTATGACGCCCGTAGAGAACTCCTCAGATGAGGACGACTTTGTCCAGCACCGCACGTGGGACTCGTTGGAGAAGTCAAGTCCTCCCCGACGGCCCAAGTTGGAGACCATCAGAAGCTCCCGCTCCAACTCCAGGCAGGCATTAAAGGCACGTCCCAACGGTACGAAGCCAGACGTTGCAATCAAGGACAACTCTGACGTCACGCCTAAAGCGTCCGTCAATCCTGTTATAAAGCGCACCGCGGATGAGAACACACCTACCACTGTCACTACTACCACGATAGTATCATGATGTTGAACACATCCCGAGGGCTATGTCGAACGACTAGCCGAACAGGAAAACTTTTTCTCTGGTCGTTGTCTTTGAACCCTCCTCATCTTCATTTTCGAGGATCATCTACTGCATTGTTTACTCCCAGAGAGGGGCATAGCGTTTAAGGGACGGAGCATTTGCATTTTGGGAAACGGAATCGGCATTGGGGCGTTTAGAGGTGTGTGCAAGAAAAGCAAGAGAGAGAGCATGCATACGGTGGGCAATTGGGTATAGTAAAATGGGGTGTTGGGAACCTTGGGTTGGTTTTGTTCAAAGAGGACGAAATCTATGGCTTGTTTCTTTTGGTTTTTTTTTTTTTTACATTGCTTCGTTTCTACATCTTAGACATTTGGCTGCACAAAAAAATGCGAGGAAGCCTTGATTTCTTTCTTGTTTCGATTTTTATTTTGTTCATTTTTTCCCTTTGTCATGGCATTGCTAGCAAGCAATTAGCACTGGAAACATGAGGTATAACCCATTCCAAGCCTATGTCCCAATGATTTACCCTCTTTTAGTCCATCTCTCTCCAATCAGAACCAGCGTCTGTCTCATCGACTGTGAAACCCATGTGTATTCCCAATCTCCGATCATGTTATCACAGGTGCATTCCACCGTCCTCGTCGTCATCGCCAAGACCTCTCATTCGCTCCTCCATGGCCTGCCGTAGCTCTTCGTCCGTCAGCCGACCGCCCGTGCCATTTGCTTGTTGAGCGGCCTGGGCGGGCTGCTCAGGTCGGTCGTCCATCGTAATCACGCCGTTGCGTATTGTGCCCATCTGGAATGTACCGTCCATCCATGCGGGGTGTGACGAGGTCGTCGTAGTCGACGAGCCGCCGTTGGTCGCCGCCGCCGCGCCCTGATGTCCAGCAGCAATCCTATTCTCCTCCGCCGCCGCTGCGCCGAGCCCGTTTGTGGCCGGAATCCCGTTCCCGTTAACGCCATTGGCACCGGTTATAGACTCGCTGGTGATGCCCCGCAAGGCGGCCCCTGACCGCCCCTCCTCCTCCTCGACCTCTTCTTTACTCTTGAACTCATTCCATGAGTGTCCGCGCCCCTCGACCTCGTCGCGAATGATTTGGACGCGCTCGCGCATGCGCGTGATGACGACGTCGTTTTCACGTATGGCTTCTACACAGGTCGGGTCCGGGCGCCCCGCCGAGGCGTCGGTGGCGGAGTCGAGGGTGGTTGCGTCACCGGCGGCGTAGGGGGCGAGCTGGGCGTTTGAGTATTCGAGATGGAGGATGGAGTTGCGGATCTCGAGAGCTTTGAGGTGGAGGGTTGGGAGGGAGAGGTCGCGGAGGGCGGAGGCGAACTGGGTTGGGGATATTGGGCGAGTGTCTGCTGACATTTTGGCGGGTGTTGTTGAGCTTGGTTGTCTTTGTCTGGTGTGTAGATGATGATTTGGGGTGATGAGGTTTTTGTTTGGGTTTTTTTGGGGGGTGGGTTTGGGTGTTTAGGATTTGGATGTCGTCTCTGGAGAATGAGAAGGGTAACTCGTAGGTAGACAGGAAGGATATTTGAGTCTGGTAATTCGGGGAGGGGATAGCGAGTGAAAAATGAGGCGGTTCACGAGGGATGGTTTAAACGAAAGGACGGAGAAAGGGAGGGAGGGAAAGGTACGATGACGATGTGTGGGCTTGGTGTTTGTAGAAGAAAGGACTGAACTCCTCTCTTCCAGGTAGATGACGTGCAACGTCACCGCAGCTTTTCTGTCAGGTAGCTTCCTCCTGTAAAGCTGAGCGCGGGGTGGGATTGAAGGTGCAGTGGAGGGTTCCGGCGGTGGGGATAAGCAGGGGGGGTAAAAGTAAGGTACCTTGGCGGAAAGTGACGGAAGGGGCGTGGTGCTATCTCTTACCTTATCGATTACGTGCCTTAGCTTACGGGTGCTTACCAAGGCCAAATAAAGTGCACCCTGGGTGTGAGCCGGAAGTAGCGTTCGCCGGCCGCCGCTACCCCGTGGTCCCCGTCCCGTCACGATCCAAAGAATTTACGGATTCCTTACGCCTTTGGGATCGAACCACTGTGACAACGCCGCCGCGCGCGACGACGATCACGACGACAAGTACGATTTCGAAACGGCGCAAAAGGCGACAACGCCTACGATATAAGACGAGGTTGACGCCTGCCTACCTATACCCCCATACGAAGAAGAGACTTCTCCAGCGACCGCAGCCGGCGCATTGATGAGTTTGTAGCTCTCAGTGCGCTGCGAAACGGAGGCGCTCTAGGAAGCCATGAACGCCTCACTCGGCCTCGTTCCCTCGAGATCTTTCCTCCACGTTGGCCTGCGTGTCGTATGCCGTTCCGCGCCGAGTACGAGCTGTTCGTCGGCGTCACGACTCCTTTCGACATGCACCACCTCCCGGGCGCCCGCCGCTAGCCGGCCACACTTAACGGGGCATTCACCCCTCCAGCGAACTCAATGGCCGTCCCCCGGCATCGCCGCGATGACGGCCGGTAGATCGATCTGGAGATGGGCATCCTCCTCCTCCGCATTACAAACACCCAAAACCGACTACAAGAACGAGCCCGTACTCCGAGACTACGTAGACCTCCCGCTTGACTACAAGGACAAGCTGGGCCTGCGGTTCAGGGAGGAGGCAAAAGACCTCTCGTCGTCCGAGGTCAGGGCCGTCTTTGGCTCGTCGCTCAAGCCCGCCGCCGCCAACCGGCTACTGAGGATAATGCACGGCCGGCGCGTCGCCGGCACGCTGGAGGATCCGGCATTTGCGATCAATACCACCGCCTTCACTTCGCAGCAGTGCGACGCTGCGTTAGCGTACCTCCGTGAAAAGATCCCCGTGGACGAGGTCCTCAACGCAGGACTCCGGGCCGAAGACGAGCTTGCTGCGTTGGAGAAGGAGCTCGCGGAGAGTGTTGACGAGGATACCTCCTCCTCTTCAACCACCGCCGCCGCTGGCCCCAAAACACCGTCTCTCAGAAAGGAAAACTCCCTCAAGCCCGATCCCGTCTACGGCTACAGCGCCTTCGATGCCATCCGCGCCAGGAACCAGGCCAAGGCCGCCGAGGAGGAGAAGCGCCTCATCGAGGAGGCCGAGGCCAAGGGCATCGAGTACAACCCAGGCACCCTCTCCATCCCGATCAAGCGCCCGCCCATGACCCCGCGCATGCAAAAGTGGACGGAGGAAGGCAGCGCCTCGGACCTGGCGGCGCCCCCGCCCCTGACCCTCGCCGAGCGCATTCTCCCCTCCGCGGCCGTCGTCCTGCTGCTCGTGGGCCTGCTCTCGGCCTTCGCCGCCGTCTACACCCCGCCCCGCAACGCCGACCGCCTGTTCCCCGAGGTCTCCCCCTCGACGGCGACGGTCGGCGCGCTGATCGGGCTCAACGTGCTCGTGGCGTGCGCGTGGCGCGTGCCGCCGCTGTGGCGGTTCCTCAATCGGTACTTTGTCCTCGTCCACGGCATGCCGAGGGCGGTGACGATGATCACGGCCAACTTCTCGCATAGCTCGTTCGGCCACCTGGCGACCAACATGGTGGGGCTGTGGTTCATGGGCACGGCGCTGCACGACGAGGTCGGGCGCGCAAACTTTCTCGGCATCTACCTCGCCTCGGGCGCCTTCGGGTTCCTGGGCAGCCTGACGGCCTATACGTTGCGGGGGCTGCTGACCGTCTCGACCGTTGGCGCGTCGGGCGCCGTGTTCGGCGTCGCGACGGCGTACTTTTGGATGCACCGTTTCGATTCGTTCAAGGTGCTGGGGTTCCCGCCTGACCCGATGAACGGGCCTCAGGGCCTGGGGTTCATTGCCCTGATCCTTGGGTTCCACGTCTACGCCTTCTTCAGGAGAGGGAAGCAGACGATCGACCTGACGTCGCATCTCTTTGGCATGCTGGCTGGAGTAGTGGGGGTCGAGTTCGTGACGAAGGGAAAGAAGGGGGAGGAGGGGGCGAGGGTGGATGGGTTGGAGAGGAAGAGGGGCGATCTCGTCAAGGATGCGCCGCCTCGCGAGAGCCAGGGCGATGGTGGAAATGATGTCAAGGCTTGAGAGACTTAGGGGAGGTGTCTAGGTGTTTGCTCCCCAACAGGAGGGGAAAGGGGGAAGCGTGTAAAGTATGTTGAAGGGCAAGCAAACCCATTTCGGGGGTTATCACCTCCATTCTATCATCATCTCATCGATTGGAAAATTAGATTTTTGTCAATGTACTATACACGTCGATCGTAGACAGAGATACCACTTGTTTGAAGGGATAGGATGGAGTCTCCAATTGTTTTGGCGTGAGATCGTGACGAGGTTAGGTGGCCTGTTTCCCGATCTTACATGTCGTTCCAAGGCTACATACCTACATTCTCGGGCAGGGAGGAAAAAGAGTCGTCAGCTCTTGGGAAAATCAAAGGGAAGCCGATCAAGTGCGGCACAAGACCCTGCCTATGTTTGCAGAGATCCCCAAAATCCGGCTGCGATGTATAAATCATAACAAATTTAAACAAGCCCCCTTTCTTGAGCCCAAGCATATCCTATATACGCAATAGGCCTTTGAGTTGTACAGTAGATATAAAAGCGTTCTAGAATTTACGCCAAGTCCGTTAGTCTAGTTTCGTCTCGAGTACCGACGGCGTCGTCGCACAAGCTTAGTGCTCACGGACAGGAGTCTACGGCCGTAAGCGCCAACGGTGTGGCGTTCTTTTCTCCATTGCAACGGCCTCTTTTTTCGACGACGCCTTCAGAGACGATGATTTGCAGAAGCCTTTCAATCGGGACGGGCGGTGGTGGTCTCTTCGAGCGTGATTTCCCTAGAAGCAATATGTAAGTTTCTAGTTGAGAGCAAGGAGGATCTTGCAGCTCAGAGATTGAAAGAGACACGCAATACGTTCAATTTCACCTAGGAACCATCAATAAGTCTCCGATATGATCACTTCTAATGAAATCAAAGTTTCTCGAGTACAAAGCACGGCTGGTAGTCATCTCGGAGGTCAAAAGGCCTCCACGGCCCGAGACTAGTCAAGGAGAAAGAGAGTTTGGCACCCTGAAAACGAAAAGAAGGCACTCAATGCGTTTCATTATCTCTAAAAACCCTCGTCTATGGTCCCATGAAGTACTTATCGGCCCCGTAAATTGCCGGTTAGTTGTCAATATGGAGTGCTGAGCCCTTGAGAGGGATGGGAGCTAGCGCTGGGATTGCTGGCCGCTATCAAGGAAGCTAAATACACTTCCATGTCCTGGAGTCAGTCTATATATCCTCGTGGAGTTATCTTGCTGATACGTAATACAGCCGTGTGGTGGCTGCCAGCGCCGTAGCCCTGGCACTTGGAGCTTGTAAGCTTGATTGGGCGATCAGCTTACGTCGGTGGTTGGCGGGCAACTACTGGTTGGAGTAGTGCTGTAACAACCTCAACCTTTCAAGGTGTTAATGGGAATCTGGATTGATTTCTTTTTGACACTGAAGGCTTCCTCTGGGATCAGACCTATCCTTGGGCGTACGTCCTGACATGGCTGGCTGATGGGGCAGCCGAATCCTTTGCTTGTGCCTCTTCATGTTCTGGTGGCACCCTGTTCTCATGTCGAAGCCCGCACTTCTTCACAATGCTAATTCATCATGCGGTAGATCACGCCTGTTCCCAAGTATTATGTGAGAAACTCAAGTGGTGCAACGACTATGCTGTAGCGTAAGTCTCACTGACACTTTCCCAGTTGGATCAGCGGAAAGTCGCACAAATCTTGCTTAAGCAGAGATCCATGTACACCATGGTGAATAGCTTTGTAATTTTTATGAAATACCTTCCCTTTATTGCTTGTGGAAACTGGGGAACACGTTGAGAAAAATAGCTGTCCGAAAACAAGGCGCGACCCCAGAAGGTCCAAACTAAGCGGGATACTAAGAGCCACTAGAGGAATGAATGTTATTACGGCCGTTCGCTGAGCGGTCATTGCTCATGATGGCAACTGAAGTTCTGCATTTCAATTCATTGCTATACGGTAAAGGTATCGAACTACTTCCACCGACAAAGTCCGCGCAATAATGATTCCGCCAGTTGCCTCTCTTCGCAGTCGTTGTTAGGGAGAGTCGAACTGGAGTGAAGGGAACTCAGCCTCAGGCAGGAAGCAAAGCATTTCATACACAACTTATCCAATATCGAGGGAGATGCTTTGCGGCACCGCTAGTACCCAAAAAGGCCCCGCCAAAGGTGTGTTGCCGGTATGCAGTATCAAAGGAGGGCCGGGGTCGTAAAATTCTGCGCTGTATCCGCAGAGGGAGGTGTAGTCTTCCGGATGCCACAATGAGCTTTAGCAGACTTCAATGACGACAAGATGCAGAGGTGCTCGAGAAGCTGACTTGGGACAGGTCGTGGTGCAGAAGTTCTGGCTCTTTAGCTCAAAGCCTTCTTCCCTTCCGTCGTTCAGGGGGGGCAAACGAAGCCAAACATCTCACGGGCCTTCACCCAGAACCTTGGGACTCTGTGTAACACTTCCAGGATATGTTCTAGAGACACAGTCTCGGGTTATGTGCGAGGGGAAAAGAGCCTCGGGATGGCGTGAGAGCCTTGCTATCGCTCTACATAGTACGGACCCATCTTGCGAAGAGGTAGCCACTTCTGCTCACTCGGCTCCGCCAGCGTGTGGAGGGACTGGCTACATATGACAAGCTATTCTCTCCTCCCATCAATATCAGCTGAGTGAAGGTCCTGAGCCATGAAGAACTACGTAGTGAACAACATCACTGTGCCGACAAAGCAGGACGAAAAGGACAGACAGCAATACAGGGGTAAGAATGCCTACAGCCATACTCTAGTAAGGTATTTGCGGAAGAGACCGCTATCGCTCCTTGGTACTCTGTATTGGATGGATAACGGATGGTTGAACCCCTCATTTTGGCGGCCAGGGGTAGCGGTACTCAGTAAGCACTTCAGGGGTATGCCTCCAGGCGTTAGTCCTGCTATACAATGAGTATCGCAACAGCTTCATGCTACCCAGCGAGGAGAGCAGGGTTCTCGTGCTATTGCGCTAGGCGTCGTCGTTAAGTCTGGTGCTTTGATCTGGGCTTGCGAAAGGGTTGCCATACTTCGAGGAGAATGTAGACCAATATAGTTGCGTTCCTTGGCTCCAGTGGCATCCTTCGTGTACATACCGGCGATTCAGCAATGAATGACTCCTCCGACAGGGACAAGTAACCGCATGGAAGTGTGTCTACATGGCAAGAAGGATCGTAACTTGGCAAAGAAAGGACTCTAGCAAGGCGAACGACCTACCACACTGCTGAACCGCGCGCCTCGGCAAGCGAACCTGGGCCAGGTGGAAGCGTTTCTTTGTGGACATTGACGGAAGCGGCACACTACTCTTAGGTGATATTCACAACCAAATGGAGACGTTATACCTGAAGAAGCCTCTGTTAGCAAATGCCGTGGTTCGTGGCGACCTGAACGTGGCAGCCGCGCGACCCCCCACAGGGCCTTGTTCGTCCCCCCCTCGGTCAAGATGGTTTTGGTCTAGCCCTCAACCCCCCTTGAATACTATTACAACATTGCTGGAATCTCGAGGGGCCTTACGGCCGAAACGACGACCACGACCTCCGAAGCCAGACTACGGAACAGAAGTCGCACTATCCGTACGGTGCCAAAGATGCGTCACGCCAGCGCCCACCCGCCAACCTGATCTGATGTCTCCCGCCTGCAAGAGACAGTCTGCTGGCGAGCACCTAGTTACGTCAGAAAACGTGTCCTCATTTTCACAACGCAGAGCACACCGAGGGCCCCTCTGAGGTCCCTCCCCCCCCCGGCAGTGATCATATCTCACATTCACAAAAGGGGGTTAACCAGGTCTTCCCGATCCGTTAACCATCTCGGCTCTGCTATATTCCTTGTAAATTTATGCTTCAATTCAGTCATCCATCTCGTCTTGGCAGGGGAGATATCAACGGGCTTGCCCCCTTTCAAAAGAGGGGGGGGGGGGCAAAGCGAAATCCTGTATGTTTTCGAGCTTGGACGCCACGTATCTATATCGTAGCAAATTCGGTAAAGCAAAGTCACAACCCCCTACTCTACTATCTAAATAGGAAGAGAAATTTCATGACGGAGCGTTAGAGTGAAAACATCGACCACTGTTTAAAGTTTCGACTAGTCTCTTGATCGTGACATTTCTGATCCAGAAAACCAAGACATCCGGATCCGACCACGTCGTTTCCCCCCTCATTGCCCCCAAACTCGAACTAACGGGCCGCGCCGAAACCACCCACCTGGCGGGATAAAGAACTCGAGCCGGTGAAAGAGCGCTGATTGCTGTTTTCCACATTCCAACGGATGTGGCTGGCCGATTCCAGAGGAACCGCGTCTCATGCCCCTGTGCCCTCCCCTTCGTCAATCCCAATTTTGGGCCGGGCCCCCATTCGAATGGTTTTCCCCGTGAAAGACATACATACCTTCAGTACATGTAATGACTCGAACCGCTGACCGAGTTTCCTATTTCACACCGGCCCAAGGTTAGATCAATGGAACATCAACTCACACCGAGTGGCCTTCTCAGTGGGCCCCTTCGTCGTCATGTAGGCGGCCAGGTACGGACTCTACCGTCATACGGGGGGTCAAGTTTGTTCCTGGTAGAGGGCAAATTCCTTGTCCCTCGATGGCTCATAACTCGCCACGTCGAACAATGCCGCCCCATGTACAGATAGCTCGTACGGATACATTGCACCTCGCAGGCTCGCGGCGCAGCGGGTATGGGGTTAAGCGCTCGAACGGGAACGCAGCATTAGCGATCTGCTCTCTTTTTGGGATAAGTGACTAGGAATGGCAACATTAGAGGGAGCCGGCGTGGACGTCTTCAAATTTCAAACTCCTTTCAACACCGCCGGGTCTTGACTCTGGCATAGGCTCAATTCAGCAACGGAGATCCCCGTATGTCGGCGCCTGGATTCACTGACCGGTCTCCCATCCGCTGGGTGTTTCCCATTCCTTCCCAACCTATTCAGTCAACCGCGGTATTCATATGCTGCGAGTGGCCAAGCATTTTCGATAGTCTGTCTCACTCGACCCCGGTTGCTGGTGAAGCCTACCTTAGTCTGATCCTACAGTCGCGTAAATGTTGTCCCTTTGATTTCCCCTGAGTCTGTTTGATTGGATCTCTTGATCCGGGCCTCTTCTTGTGGTCTCCCTGGGAAACCTTGACCGGTCATGTCTCACGCTATGGGCCATACCGACGGAATCCTCCAACGTCCAATGGCTACCCCTCAAGCAACGACCCAGGTCCTAATCGGGCCTGTGGATGGGTAATCTTTTACGCAGTAGAGAACCTCCGTGCTGTAATGGAATCCACTCGTTCACTGGAATCATACCCTTCGCATCGGATACGGACAGCGGCGCTCACCGTCCAGGGCCGAGTCAACTGCTCAGCGCACTAACGCTCAACGCTCATAAAGTCCCAACTGACAAGTGGTCAAACTGTGTAAAACGGGGTTGGCTGGCTCATACTCGGTCTTGGCCCACAGGGCCACGTTGGTCGTCCCTTGTCGACCTTGGCCTTGGAAGGCGTAGCGGATTCTCCGGGACACTTTCCCCGCAGGATTGTAGATACGCACGTCTGATAACTTGCATACTCAGATCTTTGATCCACGTAGATGAAACGTACTTCACGGTAGGTATACGGATACGACGAAAGGCACTACTATACCGTTGCCAGCCGGATGACTTGATGACAACCAGTGGAGGCCGCGGGAGGAAGACCCAACGTATTATCAAGCCACATGCGAACATGATTCGAGGACAGAATTACTCGGGGTGAGGGTTTGGCCGAATTACTTGGGTCATGAAAGCTAAGTCAATGAACTCGTGGTTGGGGAAGTAAAACATGAGAGCGCAAAAAGAAAAACAGTTGAAATCTCGGTGTATGCCATCCCGCTGGCTCGGACGAACGTCATTCCTGTATTGCAGTCATACGATTCGTAACCGCTTTGCATTGGGCGGTCATCGTCCTGCAATTTTTGGACTGGTCCTGCAAGTCAATGTCGACGAGGGCTGCATGAGGCGCTCCTCAACTCAGATAGCCAACGCCGTCGTCAGCCAACCACATTAGAACAGTGCCTCACCGAGATAGCCAAGACTGCCGGTCTACCGAGTCATCCGCCATCATCAGTCCGACAGAATCCTTGCCGTCTCCAGTTATAAATAAGAAACCAATCTTCGGCCTTCGAGTTTGGATGGTTGGCCTCAACATTTCTCGGCTCACACCTTTGCTAGCCATTTCCAGCTACGTTTCAGGCACAACCACCGCACAAAGCAGCAACTCACGAGCGCCATTGCGAGTACAACCACAAGAAAGGCAATCATCAAGCGAGGGCGGCTGCCCTTACCGTCTCCTAGCACAGCCTGACTGGCTGGATTACCGACCAAGGTTGCCAGACTCACAACGGCATAGCAGCAGCCGATGTATGTGCCACTGTCTTGCGGGTCGCAGAGACGTCCGAGACATGTAGCAGCCGTTGACACAAAGCTGCCGGTGCCGAATCCAAGACAAAAGGCGACGGCATAGAGCGTAGGTGTGGACGTGTCTCCGAAGGCTAGCCACAACACAAGCATGACCGCCTCGGTGAATATAGTCATGAGTATGGTCACATTGAAAGGGCCTATTTTATCGGTGAAATACCCAGGAACGATCCTGCCCAAAGAAGACCCCCTGAGAAAGTATGAGCTAAAGAACAAGCGTCGGCCCTGGGATCCCGCGGCGATCAAGGGGGTGAACTTACACACTGAAGACAAGGGTCAAGTAGAAAACATCGCCGAGCTTGACTATTCTGGCATACGTGGGCAACAGACCCCACGCTACGAACAGCACCAACTCGAAACCTGTCATCACATTGCATTAGGGCTACTGATACTTGATGAGGCTGGGTGCCACAACCGCCATACCGCATACGCTGAAGGTGAAGAGGACAAACTTCCAACGCCTGAAGCAGGCAAAGTCCCACATCTTTCCCTTGCGAGCCTTGAGTACTCTGGGCCTTGTCAAGGCGCAACCGATGGATAAAAAGGCGCAAATGATGGCAAAGTGAATGAGGCTTGCTGTCGTCCACTCGAAGTTCTTGGTGGTAAATCGGAGTACCACGGAGAAGATCGCGCCACCCAATCCTCCGCCCATGGTGCAAATGCCCATGGCCAGTCCCTTCTTCTCGTCGAACCAATGATTAATAACGGCTAGCGCAGTGGTGGTCAAAGCCGCTACGTGCGTAACGTTAGGGAAACTTCTTGACAGTTACGCTTGACCCGAGATGGACAAAGAACCTACCGGCACCAACACCGGCAGCGCAGAAGCAGACCATGAATTGCCAGTACTGGCTGCTAAACGCGACGCCCAAGAAGGACGCGGTGTACACAATTGTTGCGGGGGTCATAAGCCACCTGGGCCCGAACGTGTCGAAGAGGATGCCAAAGGGGCCGCAGAGTAGAACAGATAGAAACCCAAAGATGGATATAATCCAGGATATGTCTGTATTGGACCACGGGGCCAACTGGTTCTCCTTCCAGTATACCTGAAAGATGCCAATGGTTGTCATCAAACCGAACGTCGGGATCATGAAGGCCGTCGATCCCACGACAATGGACCAAGCTCTCCATCCACGGTCTACAGGCTCTCTCGTGAGCACCCGTACCTGGTCGTTGGAGGGATGATGTACCGCCGGAGGCTGCTGAGTCTGGAGCGACGTCGGGCGGTGTGTTGTGCCAGCAGGGCTGGCACAATTCACCGGTCGTAGCGGCGAGTGTCTGCACAAATGGACGTTAGTCAGGCCCGTTGGAAGAAGCAAGGAAGAGAGCTGAGGGGTCCATGAACATGCCCTATGCCTGTTTCATGGCGGAGTGACGGCATGCCACACGCCCTAGAGCGTGTAGTTTCCCTCACGCCCACGTTGGAACTGGCCGCAACCTGAGACACTGATGCTGTATGCTGATCGATCTGGCTTTGTCTGGGCATGTCCATTGTTATGGTAGTTAGGTACTTGATAACATCTTCTGATATTTCTGATAATCTTGAGAGGAGACGACGACAGGAGGTACACTAGTCTAGCACACAAATCTCATGAAGTTTGGAGCAAGGACAGCGGGCTTCTTTAACACCATTCTGAGCCGTAGCCAATGTTTTCTTTGTAAGCTGCAAACCAACATGGCTACGGGCAATGCCCGAACTTCGTCCCCTTGATTTCAGCCAGAACGAGGTTGGGACTCCAAATTTACCGTTGGTGCAAGTCTGGCAACTCCAGGGCTAGATCAGCAGACGACCCAAGCAAGGGCCCACACCCGGGTCAAATTAAATGTTTGTTGTAGTTCGCAAGTATCATGGGAGACTACATGTAACCTTGACTCGATCCGGGGGGGTTGTGGGTGCGTTATCGCGTAGCGCAGTCGACGGCCAACATCATATCCCGGTGTACCTGGCCAGGACATTCGATCAGGATGCGTGATATCCGAGAGTCGGTGTGCAATCGATGGCTCTCCGGGGCTTTTCTCGGAGTTGAGATGCCAGACATGAAATAGTATGCGTTGACCAGACACCCGGTAGCTAATAGGATGTCAGCGTTTGACGATGAGGGATAGTAGACTAAGCCGGGATGTATGCAAATGCAGCTCAATTTGGATATTGCTCAGCTGAAGGCGAGTACGAGCGTGATTTCATCGACATATCACTTGCACGAGAGGTGGCAATGTTGCAAGGTTGTGGTGGTGCCTCTGGCCTCAAGCGCCGCGGGGAAGTGTAGTAAGGGGTTGCCACCGTCGTGCCTCGAGCTACTGTGACAGAACGCACAGCTAGCCTGCGTAGTGACTAGTGCTTGGCATACAGGTTGGTAATGAAAGGTGCCCCGAGTTATGGCGAAGCAGAGCAATGTTGCACGACACGAGGTTGTTGCGCTTTCCATGCAGTTGTAGCAAACAGGCAGTCTTCTTACTCCTGGGCACAGTATCTTTGTGTCGCCTTTGGATGTCTGAAGAGGAAGTTGACTACGAGAAAGAGGGGCTAATCAAGGTCTTTCCGTGGAGCTGGTAAATGCTCGATCCGTTGAAGGAAAGTTCTCCGTGTAACCTGTTTGCTCGAGGCCGATCTTGGTGTTTGCTCTCCATCCCCTGCCACACTGTTGGTTCTTCACCAACGGCTATGCCCGGAAGTAGGTCGAAACGCCTTATGTCCTTCGAGAGATTGCCATATGTCTAGAAAGCCGTGCAGGAGTGAAATATGGCAACGCCTCCACTTCCTTCCCCTCTTCCATCCAGCCGTTGAATCGGTGTGTCGTTCTCAGATGTTCCTTATCTTACACATCCAGCACCATTTTCATCTGCCAGTTCCGATTTGCTGCATCGATCTTCCGCCAACGAAACCGTCAACAACCTTCTGTGCTGACGGTAGTCGCACAAACAGACGTGGTTGGTGATATTTCGCACATTAACCGCACCTAGTTGCTTTCTACCGTCTCGTAACCGCTCCCCGCCGGGCGCGGCCGAAGGTTTCCACGACGCCCACGGACCGGTAATCGCGTCTTGCAGCTTCCCGCTAGCAAGAATATATCCAAGACTAGGACATCTTCGAGATAATAATGTTATCACCGCGTATTGCAGTCCGAGTTGCGGCTCGATTTGTCAGGCCACAGCGTAGTAGAGGAACTCGCTGGATTGCTACGCCGTCTCGTATGCAGGCGGCTCAAGCTGCGGTCGCTGAAACGGTGGCCGAAGAGCCAACGTGCCATGATCATGTTGCGGCCACACTAGCATCGGATTCGGGTAGACGGGACGAGTTCTGGCGCAAGATCCCTTGGTGGCAAGATGTATCCACAGACGACTTCCTAAGCTACCGTTGGAGCGTAAGTTGGCAGGCATTCCTACTCGATAGAGTTTACCTTTGCATTCTGACACCACCCCCGTGTGCAGAGTAGGAACATGGTCGAAAGGCTCCCGAAGCTGCGAGGCTTCCTCGATGCGACCTTGCCCGAGTACATCCCTGTTCGCGGTTCCAGCAGTGAGATGGAGTCTCGCAACGAGCTTGTCAACGACATATTCGCAGGCATCAAGAAGGCAACCATGTCTGTCCGGCTTACGTGAGTTTGGTATTCCCCGAGACCACGTTGACAATGAGCTAACTCAAATTGTCACAGCCCGTACGTTCTCAGCCGTATCGACTGGAAAGACCCTCGCAACGATCCCATCTTTCGCCAGTTCATCCCGACTCAGTCGACCATGGTACCCGATCATCCGCAACTGACGCTTGATTCTCTGCACGAAGAAGCTGATTCTCCAGTCCCCGGGCTGGTTCATCGATACCCAGACAAGGCCTTGTTTCTCCGTAAGCTCAAGCAACAGACAGAGGTCAAGCACGGCCCTCCTCAGTTCATTCTCTAACGTCGTTTTCCGAAGCCGTATCCGTCTGTCCGACTTACTGCATGTTCTGCACTCGCTCTTACGCAGTAGGCGCCAACACAGAAACCGTCGATAAGCATTCTTTTAAGCCTACCCTTGCCAGATGGGAAAAGGTGTTTCAGTACATTGAGAATACTCCGGATCTGCAGGACATTGTAGTCTCCGGAGGCGACTCATACTACTTGGCGCCTCACCAAATCGAACTGATTGGTGACAGACTGATCTCGATGCCCAACATACGCCGCTTTCGGTTTGCCTCCAAAGGTCTTGCCGTCTGCCCGACTAGGATTCTTGACCCCAACGATGCTTGGGTGAATGCCCTTGTCGCCGTGTCTAGCAAGGCGAGGAGGGCAGGCAAGGCGGTGGCGCTTCACACCCACTTTAACCACCCCAATGAGATCTCCTGGATCAGCGAGGAGGCCAGCCAGAAGCTCTTCGAAGCCGGGGTCGTGGTGCGGAACCAGACCGTTCTACTTCGCGGGATCAACGATGATGTCGGCACCATGTCGACGCTAATTCGTAAGTTGGCGGATAACAACATCCTCCCGGTATGGTACCCCTCCCAAGATGTCTATCGTGCAGCGCTGACTGGGCCAGTACTATGTCTATCAGTGTGACATGGTCAAGATGGTGGAGCACTTGCGGACGCCTCTGCAAACAATTCTCGACTTGGAGTCCAGCATCAGGGGGTCGATTGCAGGATTCGTGATGCCGCAGTTTGCAGTGGATCTCCCTGGAGGTGGCGGCAAGCGATTGGCAAGCACATATAGATCGTACGACCGTAAAACGGGTATATCGACGTATGTGGCACCTGCAGTGACGGGTCGTGACAAGGAAAATAAGGTGTATGAGTACTACGACCCCGTCGACTCTCTTCCCGAGAACTTACCGAGCGACGGTCTCAAGGTGAAGTCCCAACACAGCGGTTGAGTCTGGTCTAGACTCTGCAAGTCGGCTCAACGTAAACTCCGGGTTTCTGAGATCGGCAATAGCATCTTGTTCCAGGGGGATAAGCAGGTGTTTTTTGCGCGTTGCATACATGGGACACTGACGAGGGACCTTGTCAGCGACCTAGCCGGATTCCAAATGTTGCTTCCTTGTACATAGGACGTATCAAGGCCCGGCTTCAGGCCCAGGTAACCATTCTGGTCTTCACCTGCATGGCCTTTGGAACTCACGTCGTTGGTTGAAGTCGGAATGGAGCCGACTATTGGCTCTAGACCGCGTTTGGGCTTATGTAAGGCCAGTGTGGTTACCGTGTGCGGTGAGAGATGGATGTTGGAGGGACAAGCCGGCGACAAAGTAGATATAGAAAGAGTCACGAAGGGCGGGATTTAGGTCTTCATACGTCTATATATAAAGAGAGAGAAGTGTCCAGAGCTGATCTGATGGTCTCATGCTGTGAAACGTTGATATCGTCTCATACGGACGTTTTGCTCCCGTGTAGAAAGGCACGGCCCCGTGTGATGACGGCCATATCATGCGCTTCTCAAGCATGACATGAGCTGAGCCGGACACAGTGTCCGCAGAGAGGGAGAGGGGAGGAAGAAATGGATTCATGTTTGCTTGTCAAGGGGTGTGGACAACACCCTCAAGGCAAGCAGTTGTTTGGCGGCTGAAGGGTGCGAAGGTAACATGACCCAACAGGACACCCGGCATATGCTGTTGGTTTGTCTTGCAGAGTCATCGCCATGATGGGTAATCGGTCTGACGAAAGAGGGGCAAAGTGTTGCGATTCCGTGTCAGATGGCTGGAAGGGCAAGAAAGAAGGGCACAGCAGTTGGAATGCTATCTTCTGTTTGTCCAGAGAGATTGCCCAATAGAGAGGCCGAGGGAAGTAAAGCAGCATGATAGAAGAGGTTGAAGACAAAGGAACAGAAGTAGGTCGCTAGTTTGTCGGGGCTTTGCCATCTCTAGAGTCCCTCCACCACACCCTCTGTAAATAAGTATGTCTCTCAATAGGCACCCGTAACATGTTCGTTGTTCGAATATAACCAACGAAACAAGCTGACCACCCTCCTTCTGCATTCACAGACAACTTGGCGACACGATATTCGGGAGCAGCCCATATCGTGACAGACGGAAAGACATACAGAGACAGCGTCATGAATGACATGCTGCTCTCCCATCCTGCTTGGACTGGAATTACAACGCAAGGCAATTTCGCACGTCGACCGGGGTTGTTTCCTTGAGCGTCGGGACATGGAAACGTCTGGTCGCGGCGCGAGGGCTGTCCATCTCGAACTCGCAATCGTGAAGAGGAGGGCCACCATGAACTGCGAAACGAGACTTCTCTCGGGACTCACCTGACGTGATTTCATTTCTCGTTTCCCGGAAAATTAGACATGGCTTTTCGTGGTCCTCCCAAAATACTTGTTCCATGTCTAGTGTAACATTCCCGGAGACTATGGGAAGGCGGGGGTATCGTTGGCAGAGATGAGGTTAAGATTGGCTTTTCTCCATCCAACTTGTCGTCTTTAGCGACGTTGCATTGACACAGTTCTGGAATTCGACTCTGTTCACAATCGCGACGAGGAAGGGAGAGGCGATTGCACAAAGTACTATGCTCGTGGACTGGGGTTTGCACGATACATCGCCACCCCATCCAGGACTGCGTCGTTGTGAACACACTATGCGGGGGGGGCGACAAACGTTGCTTTAGCCGATTTGCCGAGCGCAAACCCTGGATCTTCTGAAGGAGTGTGCTCTCTGGATTCTGACTGACTGGAAGTCCAGAGCATGGAACAGTTTAGGCGGAACTCGGCCATTGAGCGAATGGACCAGTCGCATGCACGTCGGAAGACGAAGAAGGTAACGTCGGCGCGTGGCGGCGAGCTAAGGAGGAGGGAGCGGAAAAGTTCTCGAACGTTTGTCGGAGAGTGGCTTGACTACGGGGTTGAAGATCACAAGCCACGTCATAGTTGACTCAGTTCTTGACAACTTCAACTCGAGGTTGCTATTCTATCCATCTTGAAAGACGATCAGTGGACACCTTTGCTCTCAATATTCTGAATCCACGAAGGAGCTCGTTGCCCTTTTCGAACGAATGGTTGCCCTTTTAGGAACGGAGAAGAGCTCATTACGAGAAGTTTGAAGCTGCGCTCAAACCCTCGTACGACCAACACAATGACTCGCCATTGCTTGCTCCCCTACTGTGGCGGGAGAGTATAGAGATGTGTGCGACTCAGGCGCTTTTCGCCTACTGTCCGTCTCGAGGTAGCAAGACCAAGGATTTGTGGACGGGCGAACACTCTCACACAAGGCGGATTCCACCCGTGCAAGCCCACGAGACAAACTTGACGGGACTCCCATGAGAATCGAGTCGGCGGTGAAGAATGTACGTTGCGCAATTCCTTTTTCTGAGAGAGCCGCGAAACGTGCCGCATGCGCGTAACAGGTGCGAAGAAGAAAGAAACAAGTCCAGAGGCAGGCAAGATGTCGTGGAAGAAGCAGTTTGCCCGGTTCGAAAGACCCGCCGGCACAGACGCACAAACATCAGGGAATGCCCGGACCACCTTGGGACCCCGTAGGATTTCATCCAAATTGTGCCGACGATCCTGCTTGCTTGAGGACCCTGCTCGACGGCGAGGGCATGTTTGCTTGTTTTCGGGCTTCATCGACAAGCGACGCATGCGGTGAGCCCTCGGGCATGCCGTCGGTACGGGAGACCCGAAGTTCGAGAAAATAGCGGAACGAGTGGGCTACGAGGGTGAGGAGTCATTTGTTTGAATCGATTCCAATCGATCAGATGAGTTGACAACCTGACATGATCGCCTGTGGGTTTTCTGGAAGAAGCCGAACCTGCGGTGTGGACTTTGCGAATCTGTTAGCTTTTTGGTGGTTGGATCAACAACAGACCAACCCTTATTGACGAAGAGCCTGGCGACTTGAATCACGAAAGCGGTCAAGCGTTCAGTTGCCAAGGCCCAGACTCGTCTCTCTTCCACTTCACGCTAGGGTTCCTGCAGGCAGGGGAGGGATGGCCAGCCACAGAGAGATGAGGCTCCGGTCGATGACTACCTACGAACACCCAGTAACCCAAATCATCAACAATTACATGCTGAAACGGAGAACCGGGACCCTGTACCTCTTTCTTGTCTGACGAGGCACAGGACCCCAACGGGTCCCGCGATTCTCTGGGGGTTTAGCGCTGTGGAGGAGGAGGAGGAGGAGGAGGAGGAAGAAGAAGAAGAACAAGAAGAAGAGAACTGGGATGAGGAACAAGAGGGCCCTCATCGGGTCTTTCGGCTCTCTTGCGTGCGGAAGCGTTGGCGAGGAATTAAGCGATTTTTTCATTTTTGTTTCATGATCACGGTGAAGGCGAAGACGTGTCTGTCAAAGGATGGACCCGACAGACGACATATGGAGAAAGGAAGTATCCGTACGGGGGCAATGGCTGCAGGAGAGACAGGCAGAGACGGAAGAGGCTTCCAGAAACGGGTAGAGAAGGAGACAATGGACAAGGAGAGGTTGCCTAAGTTCTCGGCCGAGGGGATCCCCGCCACTCTTCACAATCCGAGTCGTGCGTGACCTTTGTGAACACTCGGGGCCAGGTTGTAAATTGGTGTTTCGACAAAGGGGGAAAACCTGTTCGATGTTTGGCCAGAACCCCTCCAAATTTTATCTCTCGACTATTCGTACCCTGGACTGCTCTGCCCATCTTGAAATGCCAGAAGCGAGAGAAGCACGGTAGTTTTTTTTTTTGCACCGATGACGATGATGTGCAAAGATTGACGATACTCGAGATACGCCTGTCTCCAGAGAGCTGGAAAACGAGGGGGGATGCTCCCAGCTCGTAGCTGCATAAAAGCTAATCATGGGCCTCCACTATTTCGGGAATCGGCGTCGTAATAGACGTGGAGTTTTTGTCTCCCTGATCGAATGTCTTTCGAAGGGTTCGCGTCAAGTTACATATACCAGTGGTGCCAGCAACTTTATGCTATCCCATTTGGTATGTTCCCACTCACTCTGTGCGTGGAGCTTCAACGGTTCGTCCGGTTTGCTGCTGGCCATGCCCATTTTGGGGCCAGAGTCACAAGATCTGCGATACAGCTATCCTATTTCGTCCCAAGGTTCCCCTCGAGTCAATGGCGGGACGAAAAGAAAAAAAAAGGCAAAATAAAAAAAAGAACGGACGATTCGTGAACCAGAATGGAGGCGTTAAGATGAAGGGAAAAGTGGAATCGGGGATCGCACAGGCAGAAGAGGCTAAGGCGACTCACGGATGGGGTTGCACCGGCAATGAAACTATCGTAGGACGCTTCTAGGGTCCGTATGATTGCTCGTTCAAGGGGTGAGCGGCGGGCAAGGCTGGCGTCGTCACGACCTCTCTCTCTCTCTCTCTCTCTCTCTCTCTCTTTCTATCACGTCTCTGCCATAGTTTGTTGATGTGCCGAATTCCGTCAGAGGGCGGAAATAGGGGCGCACGCATCCCTTCTTTGGTGTTGCAAGTTTGTATCATGGATCCCTTCAAAGTTTAGACTCCAATCTCGTGTGGCTACCCCCCCCTCGTGGAGTCGTGTCCGGCGTGTCGGTGTGACTGTGACCTCAGAGCCCCAGGACGGCGTGCCGATCGGTAGGCAGTAGAGAAAGGGAAGGTTCCATTGCGTCCGAATTTCCCGGAGGAACCCTCTCCAGGGAGTAGGGTTGCTTTCTTGCCAAATTGCTTCCCCTTCTCCGTGGACCTCGTCCCATCACTCCATATCATGCGGGCTCTATACCAGCAACGCGCAATGCCTACCCGCAAAGTCGCGTCGGGCATGAATTCGGTAAGCAGCTCAAAGCTGACAATCACGCAAAAAACGATATCCTTATGTCCTCAAATAATCCTCTCCAGCGGCCGCTGTCGGACGTTGCTGCTGACGAAAAGGCAAGCATCTAAGAGCTGACTATGACATTGGCGACCAGGCACACAGCAAGGGGGCACAGCCATTCAACGGCTCGCAGTGTGGGGGCCGCGACAATCGAGAGAAAGGCTAGAGGCAGCCTTGCTGGTCGCTCTCTGCTGACAATTAAACCTTCATCTCGGACTCTCTCGAGAGTTTGCCTTTGTACACTACGTCCGTAGGCTCATGCAGTGAGTGAGGCTGGTCTAGGCTTTTCCCCCCTTGGTCCTCATCTTAGTTCCTAACTTGAGTGTCCAACGTTGCGAATGGGCTGCCTCGATTAAATTGCAGGATCTCTGCTTTTTTTCTCCGGTTTCGTAATCTCACGACAGGGAAAGAGAGGCGCGAAAGTGAGGAGTGGGAGAGAGGAAAGAAAAAGCAAAACTTTTGTGCTCCCGCACTATTCGTAAAGGGTTTGGGTCCAGTTCCTGATCAGTGCTCCCGCTAAGCAAACCAAGATTGTCCCCCTCTGCGACGTCGGTAAAACCGTGAAACAAAATATCAATGCTTTTCTGTTATTATACGGTATCGTGCTTCTTCGCTGTCCCGTGGAGCTGCATTACGTATCCATACTGATAGGGTTTGTCGACTGACTAACCGACCATGTCCAATGATCGCCCGTCAGCAGGGAACGATTAGGCGCCACGGCGATGTTGGCATTTTCCATTCTCGACAGTTTTCGCGCAACTTTACACTACAGAAAGGGTTGTCAGGGTTGCAATCCCGACCCTACCGAGAAACAAAGTTCCCGTGATGAACGCGAGAGAGAGAGAGAGAGAGAGAGAGAGAGAGAACCGTCTAGGTTTGACTTTTGCAGAATAGGTAGGCAGAGAAAGGTTGGCTGGGCTCCGCGACACGGCATTGGGGCTGAACGTGGGACGATGGGTTGGTTACTTGGGGGTGGATGATGATGTTCAGGCACACAAGCAGGGGGGCGACCAAGTAGCACAGACTCACGAGATGGATGTGTGGTTTGATTTTGCTTTCGTTACCTTAGTTTTAGTGTGTTTTTTTTTTTTTTTTTTTTTTTTTTTGCAAGAGAGAGGGAGGGCTGGCAATTTGCGGGCGCGGCATCCGTGTGCAACCACACCAGAAGTCTTGGGGGACATGGGGGACATGGGGGGGATGAAGCTGTCTACACAGTACGAATGCATGACGGTGAAAGCTCTACGACCGACGGTCTTGACTGCTTCGGGATACGGGGACGGGCGAGACTTGCAGAGGAGCCGAAATGCTGTGCTACAACCCGAACGTGTGACAAACCTGCCCGGCCCTCCCTCTCGAGGAATTTCCTTCTACTGGCTGCCACCTCGACAACCTGCAGAGCAACCGCTGAAGATTTCCCTTGTAACCACAATTGCTTTGGTGTGCTTTTGCGAAGCGCCTGTGCTGTGAAATCATGTTTATTTTTTGTTGGCAAGCTCATTTGCTGGTTGTCCTTATCTCGTCAACCAAGAGACGGGCGTTCCTGGTCAACAGCAACCGTCGGGATACGAGATATATGATGCAGGTGACACCTCAAAACTCTCTGCCAGACCCCCTCCAACCTGTGATGTTGACATCTAAATACAGAATGAATCCTTTCCGGCCTCTCCAAATTGGCAATGCTTCATGTTTCCTTTATTGCAAAGTCATGCCCGAATGTGTTGGTGATCAACATTATCAATACCATTCTCGAGAGCTGCACCCCGGTCCCTCTAGAGTGACCCTCTTCTGGAGTCTAGGATTCTGGAGCCCTGTCGGTGGATTGAACCATACTTTTTCCTTGCCTTACCTTTACGCTACCACTCTACGGATATTCGCCGTTTGGATACATGTTCCCCTGCTCTCTGGCTCCTCTTCGCCCAGTGGATCCGGAGCCAACAGGAAGAAGACCCTTACGCACCCCCCCCAACAGCTGGCAGGGACTCCCGGGCTTTGTGAGGTCAGCTCAATACCGGATCCGGCAGTATCTCGTTGGACTTGCTGCCTCAGCGGAGCACCATGATTGCGCTGCTGGGGATCAGCCAGCAGGATCCAAGGCGATTGGGGGAAAGTTTGTGGATGTCGTCGAGGAGGACCACAACCACGGCCGTGTCGTCCTGGGCAGAGGCAGAGGAGCGGGCAAGTGGGGGGATGATGGTCTTTGCTGGCATTGCTCTCGCCGCCCCGGCGCGCGTACCTGGTGTGATGGGCGCGCTGCCGTGGGACCCATCACGACTGTCACCATCGACTGGTAGGCCTGGACCGGGGGAGAAGGAAAAGGGCAGCAAGTTATGCCAGCACCGCCCTCGTCCCTGGGCGGCGGCGGCAACGATGGATAAGGACGTGGGCGGCGTGGACCAGCATGAGCTCATAAGTTTCCTTGACGACACGGATACGAACGCAGACGAGTTTATCCCGTCTTCTTGCTCGACTCCTTCTTCTGCTCCCGTTGCGCACTCTTTGATCGACGAGGACGAGATCGACATCGATCCCTCATCAACATCAGCAATAACCACCAGCACCGGCGACATAATTTTCAACAGCAATACTACTTCGTTCTACTCCTCCGCACGCTCGAGCCTCTCGTCATCGACAACGAATTTGACCTTTACGACATCGGCATCAACAACCAGCACAACGACGGCGACAATGGCGCCAATGACCATTACCATCGGCTACATCAGCACTGAGGGAGGTGACAACGCCGCTAGGAGCAATGGCAAGACAGCAGCGACGGTGGAGACGGCGGCGGCCGGCGGACGGACCAGCGAGGATAGCGTGGACTGGTCTCACGGCCTCTGGAACTATTTGCATCACGGACTCGACGGGTACAGCTCGCCCGATCTGCGGTTGCTCCAGCAGCACCAGCAACAGCATAAACAATCGTCATCGTCATCGTCACATCATAATCTCCATCTACGGCCCGACTCGTCGAGGAGCCACCAACACTTTCACTTCTCCCGGGCGAGCTCCGACGCGGGTTCCCGCTCTGGCCCTGGGTCTACGGCCACCGCGACCGCAACCGCAAATTCGTCGACTACGTGGACGCTGTGGAGCGGCGAGAGCCACGAGAAGAGCGGCAGCAGCGGCAGCGGCAGCAAGAAGACCGTGGCGGCGACGTTATCTGCAGCAAACTCTGTGGCAATGATGCCGACGAAACCAACAAAACTCGGCATGCGGGAACCATCGATGTTGTCGACCGCCACAACCCTCGTGCCTCCTCCGCCGGTATCGCCGTCGGGCTCCTTTGGGACGCAGATGACGAAGCAGGAATTCGAGGCGCTGCCGGAAGCCATTCAGCGAAAGGTGAGCAAAAGATATTCACATGGTTTTTTCTCTGTTTGTGTCTTGCTTTTCCTCCTTTGCACCTCGTGTCTTTTTTCCCCTTCACGGCCCTTTGGCTCGAGCAATTCTGTCACCCGAAAAATCTGCCTTAACCATGTGGCCGTCCCGATTGGCGTTTCTTTGCCCGCCGCAAGTGCCGAGTTTATTGTTGCTTTACTTAGCGTAGTCAACCCAAATTTCCCTCTCTTTTTTTTTTTTTTTTCCCCCAGCGGACGGACTCTGGCGCCCGTTTTTTTACTTTACTTCATCTTGTTTCTTCTCCCCTCGGGCCCTGTCAGCACGGGCTTATTTTCCATGGCCGCCAGCCCTGGGCAGAGAGAAGGAGAGAAAGAGGCACAGACGCGGCCCGGGGAGAGTGTCAAGGACACGGATGAAGTGGGCTCGGCCGATCCTAGGAAGACGAAGAGGCGAGTCGAGGCCCTTCTACATCTTCTCGGGTTCCTGAGCGTTGAGATGAGATGAAATGAGATGCAATGAGATGAGATGAAGTTCATCCTCCTATGACGGTACGGCGTACGCTCACTCATCATCGTGGGTCAAAGGCCCAGACCGACCCCGGGCACAGCTATCCTTTTCCTCCAATGAGTCTCCGACCCGATTTCAGGGTACCTTCGCCGTGTAGCTGCAGCGGGGACTTGCGGCTGGGGGGGCCGCCGTTCAGGTACCCATCGACGCAGGTTGGCTCTCCGAGTGGTTGCCCCAACTGCAGTGTCGGCGGCACGAGAGACTGAGAGAGACACACCAAGAGTGAGAGCGAGAGCGAGAGTGAGAGTCCACTGAGACATGCACCCGGGAAAAGAACAGCCTGCTATGGGGTCTCTCCCGAGTCCACCAACACCCAGCACCTCCTCTCTCTCAGCCCCCCCAACTCGTGTCTTCGCCCCCACACACTCATGCACTCGGCTCCCGATATCACCTACATTCGCTCCAGGGGCAGCCAGTCAGCAATCCCTCGTTAGGCTCAGGCACAGGCTCAGGCACAGACACAAGCGCGGGCGGCACAAGCTCCCCTCCTCTTCTGACCAAATGCGTTCATGCTCATGCATATGCAAAGCTGCCAACCGCTGAAGAGAGCGTTTTCCCCTTCCGCACAGCTGAACTCGAGGGGATTGGGGGGCGCCGGCCACGATGCAGAGAGATGCAGCGTTCACCACCTTGCATATGACGAATCGCATCGTGTTGAAGAGCATCACGAACATTTTCATCACAACATCAATAACAACAACAATAATACTAACCAGCCATCCTTGATCACTTTACCGCCCCTACACGCCTGCACAGCTCGATAACGCGCTCCCAGCACACTCATCATCACACATCACAAAAATAGGCGTGTCTCTCTCTTGTCTCTCACTCTCACACTTTCACTTTCACACACACATACACAACGAACCCCGGCCCGCCAGTTCAGCCATGGACAGTTCCCGTGTCCCGTCCTTGTGCAACCCAGGACCGAACGACATGTCTCACTCCAGTGCAGAACTGGGGCCCAACATGCATCATGTCTCTCCCCATTACCTCCTTTCGTCGCCCCGATCCCTCTCGGACTCTCTCTCCATCATTTGCAACGGCGGGCCTCTCTACTTTGAGGAGCCAGCGCATCCCGTTTCCCACAGTCCATGGAACCCACCTGGGCCACCAAGTGGTGCCGCTGGCTGAACGAACAAGCCAAGCTAAGCCGCAAATGTGCTTGGTGAAGTTGGTGCGGCGAGGATTATAGAGCTATTCCCGCATGGCGTATCCGTACGCCGTCCGTGTCTGCGTCTGTCTGTCTGCCTGTCTGTCTTTCTGTCGTCTCTCCTCAAAAGGCACCACCCATGCACGGCACATGCACCCGCACTGACGCTGGGCACGGTGCTGATGCACTGACCTGACTTGACATGCATCACGGACTCTCACACTCTCCTGTCTCAATTGACGGGTTGGAGCTTTGCGTGCAAGTCTTGGGGTCGGCTCCCGGGCTATTCCTGAATTGGCTGTACGTAGAAGCATTCCCAATCCCAGAACCCCGAGCTTGTCCCTTGAGGGGCCGGGGAGGGGGCTGAATTGAGTTCGAGCGTCGCTGATCTCGATGTATTGGGTTGGCGTTCAAGTCGATTCGAGCAAGTGCTCCTTCTCTCGGTCTCTCTGCCTACTGCAGCTCGACTGCGGTATCGCACCCGCACCAGACAACTGTCTAACCAGTCCTATTTGACTCCTTCCTGTACATCCCCAGTAGCTGCTCCATCCGTCATGCACCTTGGCAGATGCCATGCAGGTCCCGCTCACAAGCACCACCGCAACACGACACAACACGACACAGGCGCGGACGAGCACAGTCTCCTCTCCATATATCCGTACCTTGGGCACATGTAGTGCAAGGAACTACGGATACGTCTGCCGCATTCTTTACCTCTCCCTCCCTCTGCTCGTTCCTGCATTAAGACACTACATGCCCCCTCTCTGTTTCTCAATTCCATTCTTGCCTCCATCTGCATTCCGGTCCACGCCTTTGTATCTTTCTTCTCTTCTCCCTCTCCCACCGCGTACTAAATTCTTCCTCAGTACTTTAGCTCCCTCGAACGCCTTCATTTTGCCAGTCTTGCTCCGGCTCCCACTCCGCCATCCTCACATATCGACATCTACTGTGACCTTCCAGAGACCGCACCTGCACCAAAGACGTTGAAGCAGCGCCGCAAGGAACGTCAAGCCAGACTTGCTTCCACCCAGCTTTCCGACCGCGTCAAGAGACGGTCCTCCCGCCGTGTCGGCTTTCGCGCTTCGACGAGCTCTTCCGTCTACGTACGGCTGCCGGACAAGATTAGGAAGAGGCACTTCACCACCGAAGAGCAAATAGTTGCTTCCCGAAATCGGAGACACGACATCATCCTTGACCCGGCGGATGAGGCCATTTACAAAGTTCGAAGACGAGCCTCTAGCCTGATTATACAGGACGAGCTGTGGAGCCCGACTCTGTCAGTGAGACCTCAGACGATGGAGTCCCGGCGGCCGAGCCACGACACGGGGAAGCAAATGCCCCAGTCGGAGGACAAGAAGGCCCCTCAAAGTCAGAAGAAGCGGGACTCCTTCTACGACAGCTTCCGGTGGTTGGAAGAGGATGACGACCTAGATCTGCGCTTGTACCTCGATGACTACCACGCCAACTTGAGAGAAGATTTGCCGGCCAACTCGAAACAGCGCAGGCCGTCCTTTCGCAGGCACCTTTCCATATCCAAGATACCTTTCGGCCGCAACTCACTCTCTACCAACCGGCCCGGCACGACACCCGCCGGGGCAAGCAATCCTACCACTCCGCTGTTTTCGAGTTCCCCGGTCAGCCCTCTTACAGGCTCTCCAGGCCACGGCCGGCGAAGATCGCGGGCTCTGTCGTTGATTTCGCCAAAGCATAGTCCTCAGGATACAGTTGCTGCCTTTGACCCGGAGGCGGCCCACTACCAAGATCCTGAGGCTCGCCTGAAACTGCGGTTATACCTCGCCTCCCCTCAAAAGTTTGACGAAGCCATCGAGTTTGGGTTTCCTTCAAAAGAAGCCATGGCCAACAAGCCGGGCAAGGATGTCAAACAACCCAAGCGCAGACAATCCAAGGCGGCGCTGGTAGACGAGTCGGAAAACCTCGGCACTTTTCTCGCCGACGATCGGTCGTCAATCTTCAGCGACGACGGATCCCTTGATTCGGACTCTCCCAAGACACCCCATACAGTGGAGATGACAGCGCTTCGACCGCCGCCCATCAAGAGTGATCAGCTCCAGTCACCAAAACCGTCAACGGAATACGCACGGATGCCGGCAGAGGCGAGAGAAATGACACTGCGCATGACCCTCACTCGACCCGACCTCCGGGCCCACGAAGATCAGATGTACGGCTGGAAGCATAAGCCGCTACCACCGAGGAAATCTCAATCCAACGGCGTACGAGATGAATTTCCGACGTCGACGTACGTCCGGGATGCATCCTCAAAGGAGAGCATAGAACGTCAGTTCGCAGCCATGGACCAGGAAAACGCTCAGGCCAACGACCGAGGCGTTATGAAGCGTTTTTGGAATAAGGTCCGGCGAGCACCGGCATAGCTCTCGCCACTGCATATTGGCTGTCTCTACCTTACCTTTACCCTGCTCGGACCCGATACTCTCGATTCACAAATCTTAACAAACGCCCGTTAGACACAGGCAGCAAGATTGCAACAATAACAACAACAACAACAACAACAACAACAACCTGCATAATGAATCTGAACAGCACTGTTTCTTATACCCCCATTCAATCTGTATAATGCCATATTCCATAGTGTCTATTATTTCCTATCTCTACAAAATTCTTGCAAAGCGACCTTTCATGGGGTAATTGTATTGAAGCTGGGAGTTACTATCAGGATAAGCATATAGGGGCGGCGGGACGTGGTAGTTTGAGACGAAAGAGGCCTTTACCGCCCTTTCCGCCTGTCACATTTGACAGAGTACTATATTGGAGGAGACAAAGGCCGTCGAGAGGGGTAGATGTTTTACCAACAAGGGAGAAGAGCAAGGGATTGCATAGGGTAGCATCGTCCGTGGAGGAGGAGGCGCTCGCGCACAAAGCGTCGACCAGGTAGATATGCCGAATCAAAATAAAAGAAACCAAATCAAGTAATGCCCGCTCAAGCTTTTCCCCATTGTGTACCATGTGGCTGGTGGTGGGTGCATGACCACGAGGAATGCATTGGTGACATGCAATTTGTGTTACAGAAACGGGAAGGGGGATGCAGTGTTACCGTGAAAGCGGCACGCACCAGCCAGACCGGACTGCCTAGTGTCACTATGTCAAGTCACCCTGTCAGACAAGTCGAAGAAAGGGTTGGTGCAGAAAAAAAAAATAAAACAGTGTAGGCAGGGAAATCCGAGCGTGGTGGCTCTCTGGGTGCTTGGCTTACATTATCTGACGGACCCAGGAACCTGGTTGATAGCCAACTAGCTTTTAAGCTCACTCGGACCTCTCCCTTTTCCTCGTCCAGAGTTTTCTGATGTGTTATGGCCTTCACATAAAGTGGTGGGTATGGATTATGTTGGAAACGAAACGAGCGGCATGGGGCTGGGGGGGTGGGGGGAAGGACGGAGTGAATGTGTGGATTGCATGAAGTTGAACTTGTTGTTGTTGGTTATCACGTTATCCGGGTGTTATACCTACGTGCCAAGACAAGATCCAGACGAGGAAACTTTGGATTAAGATATGTTTTGAAGACACATGGAAATGAGCAGTTGTTTACTCTGGAACCTCTCTTTTTTCGAAAAATAAATAAATGAAGAAATGAATCAATATGGGCGCCCGAGGGTTCGGAAAGGTAAAGACGAGCTATTTTGACTTTTGACGGGAAGTTTGTTAGTGTAGTGATGATTGTAATTGGGATAGAAACCCCCCTGCAGCGTAGTGTACTCCCCAACTCGTTGTCGTGACGAGCGCTCGGGTCTTTTTTTTTCTCCCTCCCCCCTAAATAACCCCTTGCCTACGGAGTAATTCTTGCCCAAACACGAACACGGAGTTGCGTTAAGAGGTTTGACGGGAAAGAGGGGGCGGGGGCAATGGGCAATGGGCATGGGCATGGGCATTATACACTATATTAGTGCCGTAGTGGGAAAAGTCGGATACCGTGGGAGCCGGATGATGCGAAAGTATGGGCTTGTATATGGAATGGCTGGCGGCGGAAAGGGAGAGAGAGAGGGGACTGTGCGCAAGGGATGGGGGTTTTTTTTTCGGGGGGGGGGGGGGGGGGGGGGGGGGGGGGGGGGTGGGGGGGGGGGGGGGGAGGGGGGGGGGGGTGGGTGGGGGGGGGGGGGGGGGGGTTTTTTGTGTGGGGGGGGGGGAAGGGGCATGGTCAAGATGGAAGGATTCCCAGTTGTTTCTCTGGAATTCAAATGGTATTTTCCTAGGGGTGGGCACCCGGGGAGCTTTTCGGCAAAGTTGCGTCCCGTTGAGGTTTACCTCTTCTGTCGAATTTCCCGGGGTCGCGATGATGCTTAGGCCCAGTTCAGGCCCGGGTGCCTGTCAGTGGGATTGACCGTTTTTTTGGTGGTTTATGGGTGTGGAGAGGAGGCTTGACATTGCTCATGATGGGCGTTTGGTACTACCTAGAGTCCCCTGTGTTGGTCTCGGCACTTTTTTTTCTTTATTTCGTAGATCGAGGGGGAAAGATGGAATCGAGGTGCCAAGTTTTTTTCGTGCCAAGCTAGAAACATTTGTGAGAGTCAGATGGACTGCCATGTTTTGGTTATGATTTTTTTTTTTTTTTTTTTTTTTTTTTTTTGGCACTAAAAGTCTTTTTAGAAGGGCTGAAGAATGGGAGGGGGGGGGCTAGATGAGAAATGTAGCCGTTATTTGTAAACTCTGCGCGTGCGCGCGCCAATGGTTCACATGAAGAAGAAAGCAGAGGCTGTTGTTGTACCCTGGTGCTCAGAGATTTGGAAAACCCATTGCTTCTGTTGCAGTTTTTGAGACGAGAGCTTGGGCCCGGCAATGGGAGAGAAACAAGTCGTAGCGTTTTGGGGGTGGGGGGAGGATTGTGCAAACAAAGGGACGAAAAGCTGGATTCAGCTTGGGGGGGGGGGGGCCCCCCGAGACATGCTTTTTGTGGGCGACAATGGGACCCACCCCGGTGCCCCTTTGCGCCGTTCCCCGCCCGTTTTTTTTTTCTGGTGTTTTTTGCTGTTGTTTGTTGTTGTTTTTTTGGGGGGGGGGGGGGGGGGGGGGGGCACCCCGAGACATGCTTGTTGTGTGCGACAATGTGAGCCAGCCACGTGCGCCTTTGTGCCGTTCTCCGGCCGTTGTTTCTTGCTGATGTTTCTTGCTGATGTTTCTTGATGTATGTTTCGGGGTTCGCAGGTGGGGGAAGGGGATTGGATGGCTTGGAGGAAACGAAACGATGAGAGGATTCTGGTGGTGCGGAGTTTTTTGCGGATTGATACATTGCCGAGAAGAAGGACTTCAAAGCTCTGGGGGGCCATCTATCTCACTTGCAGGCCTGGAATGGATACGAGACGGGTCAAACTATATTTTGAAGGCAGGGGACAAGGAAATGATGAGCTGCAGTGGAAATCCGTTTCCGAGCTGGTTCTGGTCCTGGAGCTATGTTGGGCAATCCGGGTGGGTGGCTTGTCGCGAAATCTTACAGGGTATCGTGGAAGACGGAGGAATGCATTGCAACACTAGACAATCGATGCGTCGTTGTAGAGGCTATGGGGTTAAGATGATAGCATGCGGAGTACGCCGCGGCGTGCCGGATGAAGTGGTCGGGAAAGGGGATGGCCGGTGTGGGGCCGACCGGCACCGGCGGCGGAGGACATCAACCGGCGACTTCGACAGGCTCCACTACCTATTCAGGAAAATGAAGGCCGGATTTAATGAAGAGGCCGGTCGATATGCGCCCGAAGAACCTCAGCCTCGCAATCCGCATCGATGGAGGACACGGCTTTGAAGTATTTACGATGTCGCTTAGTGATCTATGACGGCGAGACGACGGTTTCCCACACAGATGGCCAGTGCCTGAGTATGTTCATCCTCTCTCACAACGACAATCCCGAGAGCTCCCATGTACCGAAAACCCAAATTAATTGCTCGTATACTCAACGAGCATGCTTCCCCCCCTTCCTCTAGTTTTTAGTTTTCTTTTCAAGGCCGAATCAAGACCAAGTTGTAGGCGGATACCTGTCATGATCACGTGATAGCGCGAAAGTGGGGCGAAGAGTGGATAACATGTGGCGCGGCAAGACGACCAGAAATTTTGGTGAGCTGCTGAGACGGAATTTCGTGGCGAAGGACGCCGCTCAACACCACGTCCTCACAGCATTGCCCGATTTTCGCCCGCAATGTTGAGAAACTCGGGCAGACCGTATGTGTGCTGGAGATGTCTTACATCCAGGACGTCACGGTCACCAGTCACCAGCGGCTTGACCTTTGCCCCATCCGTCCAGCTGCTAGGGATAGGCTCACCCGCGGAGTCTAGAAGAGTAAGTCTTACTTTTGATGAAGACTCTCTCTCACCAAGACTGTCATCCCAATGTTTACGAATTTTACTAAACTCATTCGCAGCCATACACTGGTGGAAGATCCAGCTACGGTGGGAACCATGGCGGGAACTATGGCCACCAAGGCGGAAGCGGTCGTGGGGGCAATTATGGCAGAGGCAGAGGTGGGCCTCGCAAGCCCATCAACATAGCCACGGAACAGGAAATGAAACTTATCCGTGAAAAGTCGGATATCAGATCGCGGCTCCGGGGCTGGGAGGCTACACACTACGAACCCTCCCGGCGTCTGCTGCAGGACCTGCCCATGCAGGACACGCCGCTGTTGAACTACCTCACCAGACCGGACCTGCTCCCTGCCTCTATGGAATCCATGGGAGCTCAAGACAGCGAGCTGCACGAAAACGCCAAGAAGAACCGCGGTTTGTTCGAGGACGACGAGCTTCAGGACCTGCGCGGAAGCACCTCGGCGCTCAAACCCGGCGACCTGGTCGAGACGAGGTACAGTAGCGGACGCCTGCCCATCCTGGCAATCTGCGTTGGCCGTCACCACAATGTGCAGTACTTCTACATGAGCACCGGTGAACTCGTCCCAGAGCGCAACATTGCTACACTTTTCCTCCTCAAAAATTTTATCGAACCCTCTAGGCTCAAGCCACTGGTCGACATATTACCCGAAGAACCCGATACGGAGCGGCGGAACGCGCTCTTCCACAATCACACGCCGGCCGCGCTCAAGACAGCCGCTCGCTTGCAGGGAGAGTTGATCAAGTTCTATCAGGAGTCGGTCTCGTTCTACCAGACCCAGCTCACCCTGGACACCGCGAGCAGTTTCTTGGCCAAGGACGAGCCCCAGTATCTCAGTCTCGAAGAGCTGGCGGACAAGCTGCTGCCCGACTATGTGAGAGTCGACGACAAGTTCCTCCCTCACCAGCTGTATGCCGTGCACACCGCCCTGAACCGCGACGGATGGGGGTTCCGGCCGCTCAACATGAAGTGGCACAGGCGCAACTACATCTACGAGGTCAGGTCCGCCTCCGACCTCAAACTCCTGCGCAAGGTCGAGAACCAGGTCCGCGAATTGGTGGAGGGCGCAGCGCTGCGTGAAAACCCCGCGCAGTCTCTCTCCCTGCTCCGCCAAAACAGCCTCGGTTCCTTCATCCTCAAGGCGCGCGGGGTCATCCAGGCGAGCCGACTGAGGCGAGAGTGGACGCCCCACGGCATGATTGGGCCCAGCAACGACAAGGTGGAAAACTTGGCGACGTGGAGCAAGCAGGACATTGACTACATCCGGTTCATTGAGCTCTGGGCGTGTCACCGCATCATACCGAAGCCCTCTCAGCTCGAGAGCCTGGGCTCCACCATTCTCAAGCTGACAGACTGCTACAACGAGTCCGACTGGGTCGCGCACTGGACGGGCTTCAGCTTCCTCCAGGAGATTGGCTGGATCCCACCCTGGGACATTCCAGCTCGCTACGAGTACAAGCTCGCGGGCGCCACGGTCCAGCGGGGCGCCAACATGGAGACGCCCCTCGTGGACGTCAACGCATCGCTCCGACCTGATATCGCCCAGGGCCACCGGCGCGACTGGGGCCAGACGACAATCTTTTGCGTCGACTCGGAGCAGACGGCTGACGTGGACGACGGCTTCTCCGTCGAGGCGGCGGAGAAGCCGGGAGAGCACTGGATCCACGTGCACATTGCCGACCCGGCCTCCCGCATCGACCCCAAGTCCGCGCTCGCCCGTCAACTCGAAAAGGCGCCGTCGAGTTTGTACATGTCCGGATACCACAAAAAGATGCTGCCGCGGGACCTCGAGCAGCAGTTCTCGCTGAACCCCGGCCAGCCGACGCTGACGTTCAGCGCCAAGGTCAACGAGCAGGGCGACATCCTGGACCACAAGGTCGAGCCGGGCACCGTGCAAAACGTCGTGCATGTCCCCAAGAATGAGGTCTCGGCCGTCCTGCCCGGCCTGGAGCCGGCGCCCTCCTCCGAGACCTTTGCCGTCGGCCAGCCGCCCCAACCGCCGCGGCCCGTGAAGCACATCACCGCCGCCGCGGACCTGTCCCAGGAGGACAGGGACGACCTCCTCCGCCTCAACCGCCTCTGCAAAGCGATCAAGCGCCGCCGCGTCGAAAAGGGACAGCTGCCCCCCTTTGAGAACCGCTTCGGCTCCCCCGAGGTGTCCCTCGACCACATCGTCGTCCAAGGGAACGCCGAGGACCCGGGCACGTCCATGGCCTGGCAGGGCGACCCCTTTATCCGATTTAACACGCCCACCCGCAGCAAGGCCGACCGCCTCGTCGAGACGCTCATGCACACCGCCGGCGAAGTCGCCGCAAAGTGGTGCCAGGCCCGCGCCGTCCCCGTCCCCTACAGCACCCAGCCCGACGCCGTCGTCAACGCCCGGGGCCTCGCCGCCTACCGCCGCGAGCACATTGACCCCCTCGTGGCGCAGGGCAAGCCCATCCCCGCGGAGCACATCCACCGGCTCCTCATCTACGTCGGCAACTCGGAGCTCTCGGCCAGCCCGGCGCCCTTTTACGCCGTCGGCGTCGACGCCTACGCCAAAGCCACCAGCCCCCTCCGCCGCTTCGGCGACCTCGTCGTCCACTGGCAGATCCACGCTGCCCTCGCCCGCGAGCGCGAGACGGGCCGCTCCCTCGTCGGCGAGACCTCCTCCTCCTCCTCTGACGATGCCGCCTTCCTCCCCTGGACGCACCGCTCCCTCTCCCACGCGCTACCAATGCTCCAGGCCCTCCAGCGCCAGATCAAGCAGGTCGACGACAAGCACGGTCCCACGCAGTGGGTCGCCCAGGCGCTGCTGCGCGCGTGGCGCTTCGGCGAGGCGCCGCTGCCCAAGACGTTCCGGTTCATCGTCGACGGCGTCTACTCCTTTGGCTTGCGGGGCCGGCTGACGAACTTTTACAACCTGGGCGCGTCCGTGAACCTGGTGAGGCTTGGTTCCTTTGCGAGGCTCGCGGACGTGCAGGTCGACGACGTGATGGAGGTCGAGATTGCCGATATCAACGTCGTGACTATGCAGATCTGGTGCCAGCCCCTGGGACGACGGCGGCCGGAGGGCAAGGATGATGCGCCTGTGGGAGATGTGGCGGATGCGGTGGCGCAAGGCGGGGAGATTCCTACGCCTGCTTGATCGCTTTTGGGCGGCAGCTTTATCGTACGTGTAAAAAAAAACTATCTAGAAGGGGGGGACTCTCCCTCGTGTAAGAAGAAAGAAGAGAAGAAGGACAACCCCAAATGTACAAACATCACATAGACTGTATTCGAATTTGTAAGATAGCAGAGAACCATGGAAATTTATCCGCTCGGAAAGGCGGTAATGAATCAAAAGTCACAATCACCTTGAAAGGGCTTGATACGTGCGCATCAAACCTGGTATCATATTCGATCATTAATAAGACAATACATGCATCCCACCTCCCCTGGTGCCCTCCCGGTGCCCTCCCGATTCTCCCCTTTTCCCATTCCATACCAAGGTAAAGTATACACACCGCCCCCCGCCCCCCATTCTCAAAGCCCAGCCAGCACGCTCTGAATACCAACACTATTAGCATCATCGCGCCGCTGCACAAAGGCCTTGAAGTCGGCCTTGGTCAGCTTCTTGCCCTGGCCAGAGGGACCCGCCGCAAGCGTGCGAGACTTCTCCCTCAGCGCCTCGGGGCCGACGATGAAGAGGGACCCAATGTCGGTGAGGAGCTCGGCCGAGGTCTCGACGTCCGCCGCGAGCGACCACTCCTTGAGAGTGGACGAGTACTTTGACAGATCCTGCGCGACCATGAGGCCGCCCGTGGCATTGATCTGGAACTTTTTGAAGTGGTCAAACAGCAGGGCCAGGACGGCGAGCGCGACCTCGGAGCTCCAGACCTCCAGGTTCTGGCCGTCGACGGCCTGGGCGGCGTGCTTGGAGACGCGCGAGAGGAACTGGCTCATTTGCAGGCACGTGGGCGTCTGCAGGGAATCGAGGTCGGCGTCGCGGGGACGGAAGTCAAACTTCTTTTGGCTTGCGAGAGAGCGCGTGACCCAGTTGGTGACGACGTCGATGGAGCTGCGCATGACGGCGTTGGTCTTGCGCTCGATGCTGTCAATAGCAGACTTCGTCTGCGTGGACATGCTGCGGCGGACCGTAGTGTTGGATTCGGCCAGCTTGATGAGCACGGTGGTGATGAAGCGTTCCATGATGCTGGTGATGGTCACGGCGGGACGGATCGAAGGGAGGTAACTCAGGTCGGGCTCCGACTTGATATTCTCTTGCGAAGTCGCCTGGTCGAGGGCGGCGTCCAGGGCCGTCTCGACGTATACGCGGCCCATTGTTGTGAGTAAAAGGTTGAGGAGAACATTGACGTCCTTTGGTGTGTCGGCGGGGGAGCCGAGTTCCAGGGTTCTGCGGACGGATTCCGCAAGCCACTTCATCATTCTCTTGGCGTTTGCGATGCTCAAGATACCGTCCTCTTCTGACACCTCGACGTCGTTCTTGTTTTCGTTGGTATCTTGTATCCCTGCAACACGAAGCATCATTGCCTTCTGGGTGGCTGTCAACTCGGACGAGCCGAGACGCTCGAGGTACGCATCCTTGGCCGATGACAGCATTTGTGAACTCTGTTGTGCGAGTGAGGCCATGAAGCCAGTCGGCGCCTTCTTTCTCTTGGAGTGGTATGTTGTGAATTTGAAGAGTAACGAGTTGTACGTCTCCTCGAGACTCTTCTTCTCTCGGTCAATGTACGAGTTCCCAACAAGATAGGGGACAAAGAGCTCTTCCATCTGCTGGTCCAATGTCTGAGAGATTTGGGGGGAAGCTGGCTCCGGGTGCTCGGTAAGGCCGTGGGATTTGAGGTCTTCGATCAAGGAACTGATATATGTCCTCGACGAGTGCAGCGATCTGAGGAACGCCAAAGAAGAGATCTCGTTGGCCTTGTCAAGCACCATCTCGAGCCGTTGCTGAACGGATTGTTGAAACACTCGTTGGATGAATTTGATCAAAACGGTCTCGTAAAACGGGAATGCGCGCTTGATAATGAAGGATTCCTCCTGCATGACGAGCTTGACCTCATCAACAAGAGATTGCAGGCTGGCTTCAACCCCAGGTGGATCGGAATCCGGGTCTGCAATCTGTTCCCACGTATCTCCGTCCAACATGACTTCATCGGAAATCAATTGGTCCCTGTCGATGAAGAACTGGTGCTGGTTGACAAAAGTGGCAATGACGCTGGAGCCGCCGTTGAAGTCGTATAGCACCTTGGAGCACTCCATCATGTCGTCAAAGTTTTGACGTCGATAGCTGCTGTTGAACTGCTTGAGAAGCTCCTGCTCCAAGGACTCGGAGAACTTCTCGAGGAGTTCCCTCGTGTTGTGTACGCGATTCGTTCCCGTCACACCGTTCGTCACGCCGTTTCCTCGGAACCCATTCGTCCCATTCGCCTGACCCCATGAAGACGGGTCTAGTCGCTGACTGATGCGCATGAGCTGGCGAGAGATGATCGCACACCGGACCTTGTTCTCTGCGCCTCCCTGCCTCTGAACTTCCTCCAGCGACGTCAGCTGGCCCGTTTCGCTGACCTCGATCCAGCACTGGATGAGGAAGTTGGCGTCCTGGGCTCGCCTCCGTTTTCTGTCCAGCTCTTCGAGCTTCTCACCAATCTGCACAGCAATATTACCGCCTGCTTCTTGTCTCGCGTTTCTATCGCCATTCGTCGCGGATTGATTTAATGACAGATCGAGGGCCTCAAAGGAAGCCATGGACTGGTCGAGCTTTCGGCCGAGGGTATCGAGGGTTTGGTCATGCTGGGCTTCGGCCCTTCGTACATTGGACTGGAGTTCCGATTCCTTCTCTTGGAGTTCTTCGGACAGCGATCCAAGCTGCGAAAGCGCATCTACAGAGACGAGTCAGCGAGGGGTACACCACCGAGCAAGGAAACCGCGATGCCGTACTCTCAAAGGTGCGAATAAGGGGTTTGGAATCAAAGGCGGGTTGCGAGGGACCCGATCGACGGTTCGCAGGTACGGCGTTCTCGGCGAGGGTATCAACGAATTCGCGGACCACAAAGTCCTGGTTCGAGAAGTCTTCGAGGGTGAAGCTGGGCCCTTGAGGGAACAGGGACTTGGCCCCAGACCCGGCCCGCTCCATGATGGTGGTCGGGTGGGAAGCGAGTTTACTTGTGCAGATTCAATGAAGGGCAATCTGCTACATGGCTCTGAAGTCTTGATACCGTGTGCTCGAATTGCTACCGGCAGCTTGTCGCCCAATGTGTCATATCGTGGTCGAGGCCGTGTTTCGGGAGCACGGCTATCCGCGTGGCTCTCAGCGAGTGACGAACTGTCTGTCCCTTGCTTGTGCTTGGACCACCAAGGTAGAAGTCACTGCCCCGCCTCAGCTGGTCCGTGTGTAAGGTACTTCGGCTTGTTTGGCTTGTGTCACGTGACATGAACGGTTCCCGACGACCGTAACCATCAAGGATCCTTTCTTCGGGTAATACAACGAGCAATACAACGAGACTGCCTCTTGCTAGTCAGGCCCATGTCTATCCCAAGGCAGAGCACCCTGGAATGAATCGAATGTTCTTTTTTGAGAAGTGTATCGTCAAAAACAAGCCGGGGAGCATCCATCTTGCCTCTCGCGACTCTGCTTGGAGACTTTCACAGATTTGGCATGGCCCTTACAACTGTCATATCCAATACGAGTTTTTGACTGTTACAGTCCGAACGAATCTGTATCTATGTTTGCTGCTGCTTAGGTAGGACGGCTTGAAGCGCGCCTTGTTCCTGCAGGTTCCTAGGCTGCCATGAGATGTCTTCAAACCCATTGATAATTCGCAACTCACAACTCGAAATACTCACAAGAGATAGGGGCTGTTGTTCGCGCCTTGCCTGCTTGCCAAGGAAGCAACGGGCAGAAGTCAGATAGGCAGCCAGGTAGGGGTCCCTGTCTGGCCCACCCTTGGTCTGGTAGCATAGACGTATAAGTCTTCAACGAAGTCTTCAACGAAGTCTTCTTATCCCCCCTAACACTCGACAGAACTGTCACAGTCTTCTTTTGTTGATTCGCCTACACAAATCTGCGTCTCAAACCCCGGCCACCATGGCGTCCGAGCAAGAACCAGTCGAGGGGAAAGACTTTCTCACTCTACTGCCAATAGAGCTTCTCGTAAATATCATTGAGCACATAGACGTTGCTTCGCACCTGAACTTTGCCTGCACATGCAAGAAGATCGCCGAATGCTCGGCCGTTATCCTGCAACGCCACAGAGAAGCACATGATCAGTACGGTGTCGTCTCAGACCTCCAGCCGTTGACCATACCCACGTTGTTGCACAACGCTGTCGTACGCAAGGATCCGTTCGTCGCGTGGCACGTACGCTCACTAGAAATATGGGGTCCCCGGAAGTCTTGGAGCCACTGGCGGCCGTTCATGCTCCAGCCGCCAAACCGGTTCGACACGGGTGCGCCACCGTTGGCATGGTCGTTTGGAAATGAGGAGCGGGCGGAGTATATCCGTCTTCTCGGGGATGTGCTTCACTTGGCCGACGATGATATCAGCAGGGCCATGAAACAGCTCGATGAAGGCAACGATGGCATTCTCAAGGTTCTGTTCACGGCTCTCTGTCCTCGTCTGAGGAATGTGAAGTACGTTTGGTGCAGCGAGGGCAACGAGTGAGTTGAAGTTTGTACTCTCCTGATGTCAACCACGTTCTAACACTTCTGGCATAGGGATGACAGCCTAGAATGGCTCGCCTCAACAATCGAAATCAGTCGATTTCTCGAATCGTGGGCACCCGGGCTGCGCTCTCTCCGTGACGTCTCCATCGGAGTGAGCTCCGGCACCTGGCTGGACCGAGACAACCAAGCCCACCACGATCCCCGTCTCCTGGCAAGTCTCCTCCAGCTCCCCAGTATAGACTCGATCTACTTCCACGGCTTCTACGAGGACGGCAGCGTCCAAGATCCAAGCCGCGGCCTGTCGCGCGGCTGCTCAACCCTCCAGCACCTCTTCATCGACGGAGCAGAAGATATGAGCGAAGAGTACCGCGTAGCCCTCCTCGACGCCCCGCGCTCGCTGAAAACCCTCCGTCTCCGCGGCAACGTCAGGCGCGACCAGGGCTACTGGTACGATATTGAAAAGTTCCTCCTCAACGCCCTCAACGCCCAGTCCGCATCTCTGGAAAGCCTCATGGTACACGAAGCGTGGGGGATGCGATCTACTCGCGAATCAAGCCGCCCCCTATACCCGCTACACTTGATCGAGCCCAACACCCTCCCGCACCTCCGCCACGTCTGGCTCGAAAACGCCGACCTCGTTCAGCAGGCCTCCAACTACGACCTCTACACGGTACCAGAGCTATGGCAGACCCCATCCGAAGCAGCGCTCGCATGGGTCCTCTCGCGTCTCCCCACGTCGATGGAGGTTCTCCTCCTTGGCAACTCGACGGAGCAGAGTGACCCGAGAATGACAGAAGATCTCCTCATCGGGCTTCTGGAGTCGGGCAGATTCCCTAGGCTAAAGGCAATCTTCATCGAGGACGACGTCGTCCGGCGCGGACAGTGTCGGCAGCCGAGTTGCACGAAGCACGAGCCCAGAAACAGGCTCTACTTCCAGCGCCTTGTCGCCGTCGGCGAGAAGCACGGTGTGGACGTGAATTGTACGGCTAGCGGGAACAGGAGGCGGATACATGGCGACGACGCCATCGGATTCCCCCCTAGTCCGGATGACGCCACCGCGCTGGTGTTTTCGCCGCTGGATTCCCGGGCCAGGGCCGGCACCGGCACCGGCGCGCGCGAGTTCAATGTGTTTAGTGGTCGATGGCAGCCCAAGAGATGCGGCAACTGTGGCACTTGCAAGAGGTGCTTTCAGGTGTATACGAAAGAGAGTTGGAAGACGAGAAGTGGGGGTTCCTCCTGATGAGGGACCATCCAGAAAGTCAGATATGCCTGTCCGCACTAGAATTCAGACTGAGAACCCTCACTAGCCATCATCGGTCTTGTCCAAGTGCATGTTCTGGTTTCTAAAAAGTCAGTGACTTGCAGCGGCTCATGGGCTACGTAGTTGCCCAGACTACAAGCCGGATACTGCTCTATGATTTTGCAGTGCTGTGCCATCCAGAAATCAGTGGCCGCCGAAGTAACTTACATTACAAAGTGCAGACGATCCATCTGCCAATCGATCGCCATGAACTGACCTGCTCTTGGAGACCCACCATCCTGTCATATAAAAGCCGCCTTCCAAACACTGATTCGAATCTGGTTCAAGAACTTAGACGGAAGTTCTGGTGGTTGGGTGCTTCTAGGAACGTTCATCGTAGGGCGGTCTGGCCGGCTTGAACCGGGTACTTTCTATTCTCTTCCAACATGGCCCTCATGATGTCTCCGTCTCTGCTTCATACGCATCGTCCCTTGACTATTCTGATCAGAACAAGTAGTTGGTAGGGAATAGAAAGGGCGCTTTATTGACCTTAGCGGGGGCCCATTAATCTCCTTCTCACTACGCGATCAAATAGAAAGCTAATGTACCATTTCGCTTATCCGTGTCGGAGGGTCAGACTTCCTTTAAGTCTGCCATATCAGGGAGTTGCGGCAGTCTTAACAAAGCTTAAATCTGAATCTTTCATTCCGAAGAGCAGTTTCACGTCAGAGACTTGTACCTTTTTGTACCGATCTGGCTAGGTACTCCAAATAAGGAAATTGAATCTTACCGGAGGCGAACAGAGCCCGGCCAAAGCATCACTATTCTTTTTGCCCAAGAACACTACGATGGAGACCTACGCCATGTCGAAGCTTCCCCGTCTCGATTTCTTCGGGACCTGACTTCTCAGGTAAGTAGCATGAAACCGCAAAGAGACTTGAGAAACTATTCAAGCGTTTCCTCGTTGTAGCTGTTACCACGGGAACGCGTGAGATGCGCTGGGAACAAATAAAAGTTGTTATCGACACCCCGCAGGGGAGGACAGTATTCAGCTGCCACGCCGTCACCTCTAAAAGATCATGGGAGAAAGGAAAAGAAAACTCCACCCTACACATCCAAAGACTGAACAGGCTCCTTCGTCACTAGAGTCTGAGAAAAGGGCGAGTACATGACACAAAGGGTATTTGATGAATATATACATACCCGTCGCCGCTGGAATCTCCGCCTTCTGCCTCGCAAGCATCTCCGAGGGTAACTTGTAACTATATTCCCTTCACAACGTGGAACCAACCCCCAGTCCCAGCGAGATGCCACAGTACTCGGCTTTTCGCCTCCAACCTTGGTAAACACCAGGGTGGTAAGTAACACTGGCTTCGATCCGTTGTAAGTAGCCATACTCCACCCACAGACCAGCTGTAGATGAGAATGGATTCCAACAAAGCCGGAAGAACTCCGGGGTAGCAACGGCCTTGGTTTTTGAAAGCTAGGATCTGTGAAAGCTAGGATCTGTAAACGGGCACAGCTGTCTCTCTTACGCGGCGGGCGCGGATTAACAGTGCGGCTCTCACGAATGTCACATCAACCGCTTAGCAAGGTACAACCCACACCGGCATAAGCCTCGCTCACCCGGGAAGGTGAGCGTTTGAGATATACTGCCAGCATTTCAACGATTCATCCGATAGCCAGATTCGGGAGCGATTTACACTGGGGTCAGGGCTCGTCACGTCATGCTTAAACCTTCTCTAGGTTTCGCAACCCCGTGGGCCGTTGGTAGAGCTAGGCGCGGAACGCAAACCTGGCTAACCTTGCCAAGGTCGATATCCACTTGGATAGAAACTCTAACGAGGGCTTCCCGTGTGGCCTGAGCCGCAAGCGTCCTAGAGTTTACGAGGTTTGACTGACGCAACTAGCTATCCATCCAGTCAACATCGGCCATGTCGGGTATGTCTCCCAACCGTACAAGACAAGTCTCGATGCCGAAATGCTTCCACGGAGGGGCGGTACCTCCACCGGAGCGAACACGGCCTTGACCGGACGGACCTCTCGACCGCAACAGGCGATTGCGCGAGTTTACCTCAATGGCCTATCAATGTCACGTACTTTGAATGGCCATCAGTGAGACGAGGGATTCAAAAAATCTGTCGGGGTCCGATGTAAACATGGCGAGAGCCAGACCGTGCGGATCGGCTCAGCCATGCGAAAACGACGCAACCGGAGTCGTCAGCGCGCCCGGTTGTTAGGTTAGCATACTGCGTCTTTCTCGCAGGACCCGAACTCCGACGGCGGGGACGACGTTGACCGAGTCGCGCCGGAGTGTGGGGATGGTGCTGCAATGCTGATCCAGGATTGGAATGGTCCCGGGTTCCATAACGCGGTCCCTGAAAAAAGGAGCCACCCCTTTTAAATATGGAAAATGAAAAAGGTAGCCCTCGTGCCCTTGTTTCCCATCCACTTTTGCGGAGTGAGATGAGGATCCAGAAATGCGGCGCCGCATTGGAAGATTGGAATTTGAAGTGATCGGATATCAAATCAGATTTGGGGGCTCATGCCCGGAGCCTCATCAAAATGTGGCCAGCACGCCACGCCGAGTATGGTACTTCTTTGAGGCACGACTCGTTGGCTCCTTTAGTCTGAGCACCAGCCATCAGCTGTCAGCAGGATGCGTCCAGAAGACGGAGTTAGGACGAGATAATGGGCAGCAAAGTTGGCGGTCGGCACGGGGAGAGTTAGTAAGCGAAAATAGGACCAGGGTGCGGTATGACAAAAGGGATGGTTCGGAAATCCTAGATCGACATATATTGCGTGGACCGGCAGACTAGGCAGAGCGAGAGAAGACTAGACTAGACGGTGAGATGCGTTGTCTTGTCTCGGCCTCTCGGATGAGCCTAGCCAGCCGTCAGCTGGTGAGAGCACGTTGGCAAATGGCGAGATCTGAACGGGCCGGTTGGAGATGGCGGACTTTTTTCCTTATTTTTGCTTCCCTTTCCCAAGGCGGGTGCAAAGGTGGCTGTGCTTGGTCCGGCTGGGCGGGCAGGTGGGGAGGATGAACCGAAAGCGGGTGGATCTGCCGCGACTCTGTCGACTGTGGATGAGATGATGCGTGGGACAGGGCGCAACTGGGGAAGGGAGGCGCCGCGAAGCTATTTTTACCCAAAGCTTCTTGTGATTGTTCCTTTGGGTGTGGTCGTTTGATGGTTGGTCGTTGAATGTAGTGGGACGAGGCCTTCTTTGTGCACATGTCTCCGTAGGGTACGTGGGTGCTACCGTCCGCTTTCCCTTCCTGGGCCACCCTGCTGGGAAGACCAAAACCTTGTGTCCGGATCGAGTAAAAACCAAAAAAGACTTTCGGGGAGTTGCACACAAGGTCTGACGGGACGCCGCGTATACGGTTTTGCCTCTTTGTCGGGCCACCCGCTGCCCTCGACGGCTTTCGTGTTCGATGGCTTGGGCAGGGATCGGTGGTAAAGTGAAAGTCGCCAAGGCAGATATAGACCGGGCTCGGCCTGTTCGTTTCAAACTGCTGCTGTGGTTGTGGCCGTTGCTATTGTCGCTGTCAGTCAAGAACGGTTGGACGCATCAGCAGCGAAACTGCCCCGAACGCTAGCGAACGGTGAACGAGTGAAAACGAAGCAGGATGATCCGTGAGGAAAGGGAGGGAGTGGGCAAAGCGCACGTTGCTGCAGGAACTGAGCTGCAAACAGATAGAAAGGGGAGCGAAAGTCTAAGAAATGAGATCCAAGTCAGCAGGATCAGACGGAATCGCAAGATCGGCACCAAATCGTCCAATGACCGATGCCAAAGTATGTAAAAGGTGACATGTGTGCAACATCAAGAAGAAAGCATCAGACTTCATTGGCGAGTCTGGATGATGAACGACGCTGAACAAGCCGCCCTCTGCCGGGCGCGAGGTGTTTCCGTTGTGTTTGTTTTCCATCACGTCACCAGGTGTGCAGCTGCCGACATTGGACGACGACGGATTCTCGGGTCCCACGAACATGTTCCTTCCCAGGGAAACGAATGACGGACGATAGAAACGGGACGAAAGTCAATTGGACGAAACGGAAGCAAACCATCAAGGTCAGACGTGGCAGGACCTTGTGCAGACTTCGCCTTCCTACCGATGTACCAAGTCAAGACGTGTGTCAGACTCGCAAAAGATGGTGTCATCTACCTTTCAAGTCAACATTTCAATATATTCCCAAACATGGAGTTAAATGCCATGCTTAATTAATCACAGCTGGGAAGAGACAGCCCCGTGGCACGCCTTACCGCCAGCTCGCCTCGCCTGCTCTGCCAACCAGCCAGCCTGACGCCCATTCGCCCTAGGAATACACAGCTAGCTAGCTGTGGTGAGATCTGGAGTACATGATGTTCCAGCGGGAGAAGGAATATCTGTTCCTCGGCCTGGGAAACTGGCATATCCCCGCGGCTTTCCAGCACTTGCCGTCCAATCAAACATTATAAAAGCTCGGTTGAAGTTCCTCTACCCCTGATTCTCTCGAACATGGCAGACGGCTAATGGTGATCCAGGTAGGCTTGCAGACGCCAATGAGCAACTTGCTTGGGTCCAATAAGTCAAGAGAGCCGCTCTCTTGGGGTCATCCGAGTGGCATTATCATTGGGATTGGGGACAACGTTTCAAGTATATGCCCGGAACCCAGCAGCAACTAAGAATAAGCAAAGTTGTGGAATCAAGACTAGGGAGACCAAGAACATGAACTGCCAACATTTTGCCAACCTATATACTCTCGAGAGTTTGGTACACATTGGAGCATGAGGATAGCGAAACAGCAGCCAGAACAATAAGACATAAGGGCCGAGAAAATGAGACTTCGTTTCGTACGCCGCAAAGCACGCGTCCGCACGGCAGTCCGGTTGCAACGGTACGCGACGCTGGGAAAGGGCACTGACAGGACCCCGTGTTTCCGGTTTCTCGGGGTCGGGTCCAATTGAAGGTCTGGCTACGACCCCGAGCTGGGCCAGCGTAGCACCGGACCGCA